GCGTGTGCATAATCAGGCCGCAGGTGCAGATGAGCTGCGGCGCATCCTTGAACGCGCTCTCAGACGGTTTACTAAGTAGGAATGATAAGCACGGGTTGAACCTTAACCTGATTTAATGCGGTTTCCCTCAGAATTACTTGAATAACGTTAAGACAGGGGTTTGTGTGTGTGTGTGTGTGTGCTTGTGTGTACCTGGATGCCTGAGGTGGTGAAGTACGGTATCTCAAACTTGACACTAATTGGGGGCTTCCCCTCCTTGTCCTCAGCCTCGACGCTCGGCAGACCGAAGTGGGCGCGCATCAAATACTCCTTTCCACCCTGTGACAAGTCAAAACACAGAGTCTCCCTTACAAAAGTGAAACTTGATATTCGGGTGCCGAGTCATTATACACAGGATCCTCAGCACATAACCGACCCACCCTAACGAGTCTAGTGGAGTCACGCAAACATCAACAAGAGATCTAACAATCCCTTTCTTAGCATCTGCACGCTCCTCGTGAGTCAGCGACTTATGCTCACAGGGAAGGACTTGATTGACCAGACGATCTCGCTGTTCTCTGGCACCCACTTCACGCTGCCCACGGTAGTCTTGAATTTGGGAGAGTCCGCGTCCGTTGGCACAGGAATGTGGATCTCCACGTTGTTGGCGGTGGAGCGCCTTTTGAACTGACTCTTCGCCTGGGACGAGAAAAACAAGCGGCTCAAGTTTTGAAACAGCCAGCGGGCCGTCCCGACTGAGCCGACACACTCTGAGGCGACATCGAACGGCACGGCCGTCGAATCAGGTGCTTCTTCCTGACTTTTTGTATTTTACGATCAAACCACGGGACCCAGAATAGACAACAAAAAAAGGATGTTTCTATGAATGACACGAGTGGTAAAAGGGACCTGCCTTGATCATGTACTCGATGCGACTGTGGGAGTGCTTCTCGATGACGGATTCAATCCAGATCAAGGGCTTCACCTGCCGAGTAAATAAAAAATAAAAAGAACACACGTGCATTGACCTACCTTTAAATTCATTTTCAACAGGCTCTAGTACGCTGAACATACGTGTCCGTTTAAATTGAAACGTATGACGCAGTCACCGCCTGGTGGATGACAGATGTTACAGCAGCAAGAACAAACACTAAACGTTTGACCACAGGACATTTGTAGGCATAAATATATTCACTACAAACAAAGATATACATATAGGGTTTGTGTGTGAAATCCGTGGTGTGTGCGCCAAGTGTCGCGGAGGAAATCGAGGGAAAGATACAGACGCACAAAACCTGGTTCACATGTTTCTTAGCAAATCCACAAAAATCACACATATCCAGCACAAAGCCCGGCTGACACTAGATATTTTGGTTTAAATCATATCTAATATCAGCCAATCAGCAGATAGTGGGGAACAAAATGTTTTAACATGAAATTATTTAACACTTAAATGTGTGTATTTTTTAGAAAGCGCATGCGTTAAAATGGGGGAGGAGGTATGCCAGGTATGATTTAGTAATATGCGACTCAAGAAGTCCCAAGTTTGACCCCTAATAGCTGCAACTGGAGAGACCTCTGCTCCACTGTGCTACTTCCCCTCCCACAAGCTGACTGGCAACTCCTATTGTGAAACACGTGTGGAGAATCTGAGGTCACTTTGCATGATCTCAATCCTCCCCCCGTCCTCCTTCCGTTTTATCGATTCGCCACCAATTTTTTTTTGTTCTTTTTAGTTTTTAGTGCTTGAGAAGCTCATTGGCCTGCATGACAATGAAGCAATTTAGCTGTATTTGAGTAAAGGTTGGTTTGCATTGGCCAAGATCCTGTTGCTTAAATATTAGCTTACTGACTGAGCTTCCCGACAAAGCATGCAACGTGCAGAGTGAAAAAAAGAAAACTGGATCAGTAGGAACTCAAACCTGATATATTCTCAGAAAATGACAACAGGCAGGCATTCATTGGTCAGCGGTCGGTCTACTGGACCACCAGGAGCTGCTGGGAGCACCGCGGTACTCACGTGGGTGTTGAGGCGGTAGGACATGAGCTCAAACTCTCCATCGGGGGGAATGAAGGAGATGGTGCGGTCGTTCTCAAAGCGAGACAGACGGACACACTGGTGGAACTTCACATCTTCCAACTCTACAGATTTACTCTTTCCTCCTCAAATGAAAAAGAAAGAGATAAAATGAAAAAAAAGATAAAAAACAGAGGCACCAGTGCACCAGCACTGCATGAACTGCTATGGATACGGGTAAAACTGCATTTGTGTGTAACTTTCAGCATTACGTGATTACAACTGATGTACGACACCGAGTGCCCGGGAAGAATCGTCTCATGTTCGCATCTGTATAGTCTGCAAGTGACATTCATTATGATCCTATCGTCCATCGGCCAGCTCCTCGCTAAGCCCGAGTCCTGCTTTGGCACGAAATAAATTCTGTTATAAGGCAGGACTCACTTCCAGTGTTTTCAAACAAAACCTTGTCGTTAAGGCCGAGCCGCAACTCAGGCATTCCAGACAGGAAGACGCGCATCTTAATGGAGCCGACGATCTCACTTCGCAGGACGTTGCCGTTGGCACTGACCTGGGAAGAAGAGCCAACGAAAGTCTCACAGAGAGCCATTTCAAGAGAGAGCGCTCGCAGCAGCCTACAGAAAATATAGCAAGTACATATGGGCGCTGTGACGCACGCAGGGAGGAAGTTTACCAGCACTGCAACTGGCATTCCTTAAGCAACACTCTTAAGCAAGGAGTTCCTACCAGGAGGTTGACTGACTCAATGACGTCCAGGAAGACCTCATTCTTCCTGTACTTGATGCCCTCTGACCGCCAGGAGACGGCATTGGTGACTGTGGCGGGGGGTCGCGGGGCGCCAGTGTCTAGCTTGTGCCCTTCCTGGGTTATGTATCTGGTAGACAGAAGAAAATGTAAACTTTGAGGCAAAAGAGAGGAACGGGGAAAATCGAGTGTTCCCGAAAGCATCGATGACGAGCGCAGACTCTTCTGGTTACTTGGGGAGGATTTTCTGACCGTCCTCACGTCAGAGTTAGTCTGCAGGCAACCCAGACAAGTCATGCAAGTTGCAGCTTTTTATGTTGAGGACACAAAGCTCACTTTGACTTGCAGATGTATAGAACAATCCGTGAAACCAATGCATAAAACATGTCATGAAATAGCTGATTTAGTTCTGTGTGATAAACTGATCGGCAGAAACGGGAGGAAATGTCACTGTGAATATTAGCACCTAAAGTAAAATCCATGATAATCCATGTTCTTAGTGGATTATCGAGTAGTAGTAAAACATCAAAGCTTCTCAAGAGTATTTTTTTTTGGGATCAATAATGGCAGCATTCATTAGTTGCATCTATAAGGAATGCAGGTAAAGTTAACAGCAATGAAACTATGACAAAGGAGATACTCACTCCTGTAGAATCTTGCTGTCGGTAGTCTGAGGATAGCCAAAATCCATCAGCTCATCCATCAGCTCGTATATGATGACAAAGTTATCTCTAATGCTCTCTTCCTCCAACTCTTTGAAATACTCTGAAAAAACCTGGAAAAAAAAACACACCACTGTTGTTTTATTTCTCCATTGCTAGAAACATCAAGTATACGCTTTTGTTAGCAATCTAAAAGTCCCGCCCTACCTGGACAATTTTGTACAAGAAGGAGAAGACCAGCGAGACGCTAGCGTTTTTCTTGGACGTTGCGACCACTGACGTGTTGCGTGTTGAGAATTTGTAGCTGCAACAGTTGAAAATACCAACACCGGCGACGCAACACAGAATGTGGACGAGTCGGCCCGGTGCCGCGGCACACAGTGAAGGATACAGTAGAGGTTGTTGTGTTTGATCCACATGAAACGGACCCCCCCGTGGGCCAGGATCGGGGAGAGGGTCCCCTCCTCCTCCTTGTCCATCAGGAGGGTCATGAAGTGCTCGATCTCAGACATGTCCACATCTCCCCGGTAGTTTCGGCACACGAGGACCTGGAAGGAAGAGGCGGTATTGCTGCTGGTCATGCTGACGGACTATCGAGGATATAAATGTGTAACAATGTATAACAGTCAATTAAACATTTTGGTCATAATGGGTTCATTTATTTTGCATTCATCTTTACTCGTTCGTCGTGAGATGCGTTATTTTGAGCAAGAATAGAACTAGATGCAACAAGGTGACACACAGTAAGCTGCCGTGTCTGCGATGCACCTGCAGCGTTTACCTGTTCTCTGCACCGCCGAAACACAGCTGTGCGGGGCAGGAACGAACAGATGTTAGAAACCGTTTTTACTTGGATGCAAAAGCATCTCGACTAATACCCTTTTTTCACGGCGGTGTTTCCCAGAAGATGCACACGGGTGAACACGGGTTGACTGATCGTCACTAAGTGTACGTAACGTTACGCAGAGAGGCATTAAAGTGGGGGCTCGCGAGGTAACCGTTAACGTTTCCCTGCTTGCTAACAGCTGGAAACCGGCTTGTTTTCCTGTCGCTACGTGGCCTAATGTGTTCCCGGTTACACCACCAGATGTATCTGAATGTTCTGGTGCACTTTGCTGGCTTTGATTAGAAAGGGAAACCCCTTTAACCCAGCATATCGACCCGGGCCGACGCGTTAGCTTACTCCGCTGCGGATTAGGCCACATCATGATCTGTCATCGAAGAATGCGTTAGCAGCGCGGCTAGCTAAGCTAACGCAGGGTTAGCGCCGTCGGGCTCTTACCTTTCCTTTCAAATCCAAGACATACACCGCACTCGCAGACATCTTGAACAAACTTGCGCGAGCTCAGTTCCGCTCTTAGCACAGCAGCTTATTGATAACGTTAATAACTACCTCGGGGCTAAAATACAGACTTTCATTCATAATACTGAAGGGAGGAAAGACGCCGTCCGAGCAGCTAGCGAGCGCCCCCGCGTGGAACCGGAGGGCGTGACGTCAGTGCGCCTCAGCGGTCAGAAGCATTGTTCCCGTTTGAATGCAAGGGGGTTATTTGCTAATAATTTGATAGATAGGCATATAATCGTACAAATGCATATAGAGGTTTCCTGCTAAATCATTAATGTGTTTTTGTGCGTATAAACCCATGCAACAAGGTGACTGGTGGATGCAGCCTGTTAACAGCACAGAGAGAAACTACAGGTTTGTGCCCATGTTTAAGTCTAATTTTTCTATTGATAAGGAATGGATTGGGATATAGAACATTATGAAATTGTCCATATATTGGCTTTCGTATTACAGCATGTGTAGTAAAACACTTTCAGATAATATCTGAGGATCTAAATGGGGATATGATATATTCATCTTTTCTTACAGTTTTAGAGCACAATACACAAATCAAAAATATATTACATTAGACAAAGACAACTGTAAATTCAGCGTTGGCATCTCCTCCGGGTCAACATACTCTTCAATCTTTGAAGCTTCCATGTTAGAGAGTATTAACACAGATCATAAACCTGGTTCCCTCTACTGGATGAACAGTTCATCTGCACTACACAACTTTTGGTCTCTTTTCTCATGATATGAAACTACCAAAATCAGAGGTACTCTGCTCAGTTTCTGTATTGCTGTGCTTCCCAGTACACCTTCTCTAACCCCTGCGCCACGATGACCCCTGATGATCATCATGTGTCTTTCTCTGTGTTTATCCCTATCACTGATTTTTTTTGCTTTTTGTATCCTTATTTATTGTGGAATAATATGAAAAACAATAAATGTATTTAACAACACAAAAGTACAATGAAGAGCATGTTTACCTTCTTGTGGTCACCTTGTATAACAAGCCACTCATTATGTAGTTTTCATTTAAATGATGTAAAATGTGTGTGTAGCTTCACTAAAGCTGAACTTAGACTTTCATTCAACTTCTCTGAGCTTGTGCAAATCTTCACTGTCATAAGTGCCGAAAGGATCCTGGTATATTAAGTTCATACTGCAACTTAATGAACTTGATCATCTCACAGCCAGGCAGTCTTTAACATTAAAATAACGTTGTTTTTAAAAGCCTGCTCCCAAACTGCTGATGGTTTTCACCTCTGTTTCCGATAGAGACCGAGATGTGAACAGATAGCAAGAACTAGTTCTAGAAGTGAACTACGACGTTTGATGAAACAGAAGCAACTGAAGAAAGGTCAGTAGTAACGGCTCCCGTCTGACTTTTGTTTATTTCTTACTCTCCTGGCGCAAAACCTTTCAGCGCTGAGCTTGTGCGAGACAACTGCGCCTCATTAAAGTGACAGATCCCCTGTCCCTTGGCTGTAAGATGGAGTCTAGACATTGTCAGAAGTCACGGATACAAGTGGACTGAGTTACCGGTCCAAATATAACCGACTGCCACTTCCCTCAGCTACTTGCATGCACCATACGCAGTGTTTGGGCTTGTAGGTGGGGATCACTTGATGTAAGCTGCGTATAAAGACGTGTTTGTACAGAAAGCCGCACAGCGGACGTGTTTTACTGTTGTTGCAGAATGGGCTCGCCTCGGTACACAATGAGTCACTGCATCACCCAGGTGTGACATACTTGATAAGTTGCATTTGCAGGTGTTGCCACAGCAAGCTTTCTGAGTGTTGGTGGTTGATCACCGTCGCCATGGACTGATCACTGAAATGAATGTGTTTTCAGTAAGTTAAATTGATGAGTGGCAACAATTAAACCCAGAACTGTTGTGTCAGTGTCCGCATGTCGTTTGCATGACATCACAGACTCAAGGCTCCTAAAATTGTACTAGTTTGAATTCTTCATGGTGGTGTTCATATACACTCTAATCTGTTCCATCATTCCCATGGCTTGGGGATTTATACTTAGCAGGACTTTGACTGTGCTCCCAAGGCGATCCTGTGGCTTTTGGGGGAGATTTTACCATACAAGGAGAAGAGGAGTTTAGCTTGGCTTCCTGTGGGAGGGTTCTGATTTCTCTCACTCTGCATCCGATCCACTGCGTCTCTATTTCTCTGTGTTCTCCTCCCCTGGTTTGGCTCCAAACCTGCTGCTCACTATACAACCCAAGAAGAATTCTAGTAAAAGAAAACATTACCTGAACACCTCTAACATTATTATATGTTACAAAATCAGATCATTCTGTTGTCATGACATTGTGTGCAGACAACTAACACACCGAGTAGGACACACGGGCCTTTGTTGTGCTGTAAGCTTATGTTGAACCCACGATTGTAGAGTTATTCACTTTCACCGTTTCATAGAGTTCCATAACCTTAAAAAAGGGTAAAAGATTACAGCAATCTCGGTCTGAACCACAGATCACATATTTTTGCATCAATGTATCTGCTGGCATTCAATTAGGCAGATTTCAGTTAAACACTATATAATACAATAATTTACATTTCTTTGCATGCGCTTTGATCTGTTGACCTCACAACAAATGATCCCATCTGATATGTCGTGACTGTCCTGTGAAAGCCATCAAGAATCTCCAAAATGACAACTTTTAAAAACAGCTTGGCAACAAAGCATTTCCAATGTCATTTAAGGCGTTTTGGGGATCTATGTAACTTAAACAGAAGCAGACTTTTATCACGTAGACGGCAGCAACATGCTTCTCAAAAACATCCGAAAAGCTCCTACAGATAAGGGAGGAGCTCCAATAAGGGGATGTACACTTCAATAGAGTCAACGCAACATGAAAAACACAACATGCGTGCGTCCAAGTCCATCTTCAGATTTCGCTTAAATGGCCACTTTGAGCCTCATGGTTCTTTGAGTTTCCTTGTAATCTTTATTTTTAGCCGGGGCAACTGGCACAGAAGAGTTGAAAGCAAGCAGACAGGTCCATTAGCGCTGATGTCATCAGCACACACACACACACACACACACAGAACTATTCAGCTCACTACAGCCATTTCAAAATGAACTCTGTATGCACCAAGATTAATTATACTTTTTTTTTAAATGATCAATATCTATTTCAAATGGTTTTCATGTTTTTACTTAATTTTCTTGCTGTTTTCCATTATTTTAATCTAAAAATAATTGAATGTAATTTAATAAATTAAATTACCAAAATAATCTCAATAACACAATTGTATCCTCCAGTCAACAATGCTCGTTATGTTGTGTGCCTCTCAAACAACAGAAGACGGATCTAAATAAAGGTCCTTCGGACCAATCGTGGTTGAGAGGTTCTTAATTGCAGTGGACTTGTAGTTTAAGTGTGTAGCTCGACGGCGGCCTGCTGTAGATCACATGCAGACAGCTTCTTCTTCGGCTGGATCATTTTCCAAAAGCCATTTTTTCATGCAGCGGTAGAATGAAAGTCCTGAAAGAATGAACGTGCTTCCTAACCAACTCTGGTATTAAGATCAATTTGAACATTCCTAACTAAGAGCCCAGGAATATATATATGCAGACAAAAAGGGGGTGTGGGGGGGGGGGGGGGACAACTCCCGTTACTAATGTGAACAATGTCCACTGGATGCCTAAGTTCTGGATCATTCTCCTTCTTCTGATCTGCTGTTTCTCTCCTGTCCTTTTAAAAACAAAAGGGCCGTGGTCCAAATAAAGAGATGTACACCATGTTGGACCTCCAAACAGCCCTCAAGAAGTGAAGTTAATGTGAAGGAAGGGGCAGAAGGGTGGGGTTGGGGGGGGGCACAGTTCTAGAGTAGCCGACGCGGGGAGTGGAGAAAGGGGTAAACAGTGGGGAAAGGGCTGTCACTGGAGACTGGGGCAGTCTCCGAACCTCCAGTCAACTCTCAGTGTGCATCCTCCTCTCTGCCCTCTCGCTCCTCTCTGCCTCCCGGCTCTCTCCTCCTCTCTGCATCTGCTCTGTTTCCCGTCAACCTTGTGCGGGCTCGTGGTGAGGCGGCGTCCTCCGAACACCCATCGCCTGAAGCAATAAACTGAAATAGTTTCCTCCGAAAAAACACGCGACACGCCGAGACCCAACCGTCACCATGGAGGCCATCAAGAAGAAGATGCAGATGCTGAAGTTGGACAAGGAGAACGCCATCGACAGGGCAGAACAGTCCGAGTCGGACAAGACGGCGGCGGAGGACAAATGCAAGCTGGTGAGACGAGGCTGGTGGAGGGGACGGTCTGACAGAGCAGTGTTTAACACTTATTACAGTTAGTTGGAGAATAAGGAGATATCACAATCGATTGACTTTCATATGCATAGAATGAGATTGACTTTATGGATCCCATAATAGAGCTACCGCAATAATAATTGCTTAATCTAAGCAAACTGTGATTAATACTTTGTTAAATTAGTTAATGAAGTGTTTTGGGATGTACTCCATAACAGTGTAACATTAAATGGATTAATTTAAATGACATTTTGTGTACAATGATTTCCAACCAAAGTAGTTTCAGTATAAACCAGCTTTATTTTAGATTATTTTGTGAAAACACAATATTAAGACAGTCTTTTCTTATAGATCTGGTCTTAAATAAAGGAATAAATGAATACCAAACCTCTCGGGGGGAAAGACTGCTGAGGGGCTTAATTTAAAATGTCAAGCATTTCCCAAGGCACCAAATGCTGAATTACAGAGATCAGTTGATACTGAGCCCCCGAGTCTTTTGGTGGGCGGACGAGTATCCGCAGTGAGGGATTGCTACCAGAAGTGGTCCTGCAGGAGTTTAAACAACTGGTCCATAGCAGTGGTTCCTCTGACTCTTAAGTAGGACGGGACTTAATTAGCCGGCCGTCTTATCTTCAGAACCGAGCCTTGAATTTCTCAACAGAAAGCTCACAAATTACAGCACAAATATCTGCACATCCATATTCTGTGCTGCAGTGCAAGAACATCGGACGGCTTAAGATGTCTATAGCTGACTTAATTATAGCGCACATGTAATACTTGACACAAGGAGCTGAAGGTGCAATATGAGATGTGAGTCTATGGAGCTAATATAGTTGTGTTATCCTAGTGGCTGTGCAAGAGGAATGCTGGAGACTATAGGGAGTTGGAGAAAAAATGGAAAGACTCCTCTCTCTCGTCTCTAATGCCCTGATCACACCTAAGGAGTGACAGTTGTCATCGGCACTGCACACATGGAGCCCCAGCAAGTATTCCTAGGAGACTTTGCCCAGTTCTTTAGTCTGTGTGGATGGCGCCGATTCAAGAAGTGCCGAAGAGATGCTTTCTTTGCTATTCTTGGTCGATGGCAGGAACATTAGAGTGCTGTGAGGCTGACGGACGGCCAAACGTAATGCACAATCTCAACCTACATCACAGACAACCGTCTCCAGCAGCAATAAAAGGACCGGCTCACCAAAAGTTACAAGAGCATTCAAAAAATTCTGCAGCAAAGTGACTTCTTCAGAAACAGGGAATACACACACAAACATTCCAGAGCTGTTTGTGTAGATCACAGGTGCACTTTGTATGAAATGTTTAAACAGCCAACAGGATGGATTGTTAGTAAATCATGTTCAGATGTTCATGCTTCACAAACACTGGTGACATTGGCTTTGGTAGACTTTTAATCGGCTCTGACCCGAATGCTAACTTCACCAGTCCTTTAGTTTATGACCAAATACCCTTCAGCCTAAACTGTACTTGTTGTTTACTGCTAATTAATGTGTTAGCATGTTAATATATTAAACTAATGTGGCTAATATTGTAATCCTTATACCGGGATTAAAAAGGTCTATTTAAGTGGTTTTACTCTAAAAATGTCACGAATGAACATTTCCCCCCCGAGTAATCAAAGCAAATTGGATTTGACAAATCAGTGTTTATTTGGTTTGGTTTTGCTGAATCCTTCCTGACTCGCTGTCACCTTTGCCTTCCTTCAGCTGGAGGATGAGCTGCTCGCTCTGCAGAAGAAGCTGAAGGGAACCGAGGATGAGCTCGACAAGTACTCGGAGGCCCTGAGGGACGCTCAGGAGAAACTGGAACTGTCGGAGAAGAAGGCCGCGGATGTAAGTTATCCGCAACGGCGGCATCTGAAACACATTATCCACATTGCAGTGGAACACCACAACTTCTGAGTTTCAAAAGTATGGATTACCACTCCTTGAGACAGGCTAAACTAAATATCTTTCCAGGAAAGGAAAAATACCACTAGAAGAGGCACATTTCTGAATTTACAGACAGATGTTCTCTTTTATTAAAAGACATTGAATGAATGGCCTTACACTCTCTGTCTGAGTTCCTCCCCTGCTCACAAAACACCAAAAAAGGCCGTGCCTGGACTCGCCTTAATAGTTTGATCGCTGATGAAACTAGCAGCAGAGTGGCGCTCAGGTTGCACAATAATCAAAAAGCTGCGATTTGTCTGGTTGTAACCAAGAGCGCAGTCCTCAGGTCCTTTGACCTGTATGATTTTGACAAAGAATCACTGAGTTGTTGGTGTCCTTCTGAGGTCTGCGAGAGACTTTTCTCAAGCACAGACAAAACTTGAACGGCCTGTAGCCGAACAGGAATCCCAGGAATGCCGCCTAAGCAAACAGAACTCCATACGGCAGCGTCTTAGGGAATCAATGCTCGGGCCTTTCTTGGGGCGGAGTTATTACCCTCTTTGTTTGTCGGGCCCCGGCAGCACATACCTTATCTGCAACAAGGGGGAGTAATCATTTGCCTTCAAAGGTCATCTATTTTGCATGATGTTTCTCTCTGTTACCTGAAGTATCTGAAGAAGATATTCATCAAACATCAATATGGTGACGAACAAACTTGTTTGTTAAATGCTTTAATGGTTTCTAATATTTCACCGGAAATCCTTTTCCAATATGGCTTTAAAAGTGCTGCATAATGATTACATTCCTTTAGTTTTTCACATTTTTAGGGAATTTTTTATCGTCTCAGTTCATTGTTTGATCCATAAAATGTCAGAAATGAATGAAAAACAACTTCAATCACCCTTTGTTGAAACCCCCACTTGAGGTCTTTGTCTTCCCAGCAGTCCGAAACCCAAAGAAATTCTGCCTACTTTTACAAGACATGTATTTTATCTAATAAGAATATAATTCCTAAACAATTAAACAATTCCAAACATTTGCTCTGAAATGGATTTGAATACACAGCGTCAGATGAAAGTAGCCAACAACGTGACTTTATACTAATGAAGGCAGTGACCCCCGAGGTCAAAGGTCAGACTGCAAGAATGCTTATTATGTTCTTCGTCTCAGCTGACCCATCAGACACCCACACAAATACCCTGAATTTGCAAAGATAAAATCCGGGTCGTGCAGTGAACGGTGAGGAAGAGGAGGAGGAAGAGGAGGAATGTGTCGCCACCTCATGGCTCCATGTCGCGTCTGCAAACAAATCAAAGTAACATTCCGAAGCTGCTGCAGGTCAACAACCCGCATAGAGGGAGGATCACCCCCCTTTATAGAAGTTAATCTTTGGACAGATCTCTCCCTTTCACTCGCTCTAACTTAAACTATTCTCTCTCTCACACGCACGCGCACGCCAACAATCGTACCCGCGCGTCATGATTCACGCTGGATATGATTCATGCGATGAGGCGTCTGCACCTTCCTTCCTTTCTCCGTCTCTTTTCGCTCCTCCTTCTGATAGGACCATTCACACCTTACATTTGCCATATAAGTCCACGACAGACAGACACGCGCACTAACCTCACGCACGCCTTCCCCTCCCAAATCCCGTGACGTCACCTCAGACAGGCTTCTGCACAGGATTGGAGGAACTCGCCATAAATTTCCTGAAAACTCCCAGCCCCCTTTTTTTCTCTCCCTCCCCCCTCCTCCCCCTCCTCCTCCTCCTCCGCATCCCAGCCCCGCACGTCCCTGACTTCCTGCCCGAGATAAAAAAAAAGAAAGAAAACTTTTCCCTCGTAGCCGCATATCAATAACTTTTAGGGTCCCAGCCAGTCGACCTCGACCAACATCTCCAAGGCTCGTTTCTTCTCCGACCCTCTTTGTGAGCGAGTGATACCGAGGTCATGGAGGTGGTCAGGAAGAAAATCCAAAGCCTCCAGCTACAAGTTGATGAGGCGGAGGACCGGGAGCAGGCGGTACAAAGGGAGCTGGACACCGAACGGGAACTGCGCGACAAAGTGAGACAATTCCTCCTTTAACGCTTCAGCGGCGTCCTGTCTTCTCTCTGCCTTTTTTTTTTAAATCGGCCACTATGTCGCGTGTCTCCCGCTCCGCTTGGCGGGTCAACGTGCTCACGGCGGATGGTGGAGAGTTTTCCACGCAGGCCGATGCTCCCTGTGGGAATGTCCCACTTTGTCCCTGCCAAGGTGTGTCGTCGTGGTCGTGGGCTTTTTTTTGGGGGGGGAGGGGGTTATGAAACTTCGGGGCACCGTGGTAGCGACATTCCTGCGGAGACGTTAGTTCGGCCGCGTTATCTAACTTTAAACCCGCCCCAGATCCCGTGAGGCTCCGCCGGCTCCGGGGCCGCGGTCCTGCGTGGCTGCTTTGATCCTTAAGGTGTGGCCTTCTTAGACCGTTCTAAAAAGGCCGGCTTAAACGTCGGTCAAAGAACACTTCGTGTGGTTTGTTTCCAGTAAATCTTTGCTCCCGCTCGACTCCGGGATATGTTTTTGCCTCCGGTAGCATTTGACGTAACGTTTGAAATTAAGAGCAGACAATTATCCTCCTCGGCCTTATGCACAGGAAGAGCGAGCCGGGGGGGGGGTTTATCTGGTATTAATCCCACCGGAAACAGACCCCGGAGAAGCGATCTGTCCCCCTGAACATAAACGAGTCAACATTACAGCGGCAGTCAGACCAGCTGTGCCGCTTCAGATTGGACAGGGTTAAAAAAAACTGTCGCTCTTGTGACTTCCTGCTTCAGCAGTTTCCAAAGGGCCTGGTCAAGCTGCAAAGTCCACCGCTCACAGTGGCTGTTGCCAATGAAACATAATGTCATGGAAGAAATCGGTCAGAACGTGGGAAAAGCACACCCACAAAGTGTCGCAATCGGTCCCAAAGAAGACTGACGCATTACTGAATAACGTGCAGTTTCTAATATTCATGTAGTTTGACTGGTTACAACTAACCTTGACTGAAGTACTAAGACAATAGAGCCAAAACCAAAGGGACCTCCGGCCTGTTTCCCATGTGCACTGCTGGCCATCCTGAACAGTATCCTTCCTCTTGTGGGAGCAGCTTGTTTCCTGGCTGACCTCTGACCCTCTTTCTCCGTGTGTGTGCGTGTGTGTGTGTTGCTATAGGCGGAGGGCGATGTGGCATCTTTGAACCGCAGGATCCAGCTGGTGGAGGAGGAGTTGGACCGCGCTCAGGAGCGACTGGCCACGGCCCTGCAGAAACTGGAGGAGGCTGAGAAGGCTGCAGACGAGAGTGAAAGGTGACGGTCCACGCGGGCCTCGTCCGTAATGTGTTGATCCCACTCATTTGATCATTTGAGACACGACAGATTGCAGCGTTGGCAAACGATCACCTCGTGACTCCTGCTCATGTTTCCATATGTTGGGATGGAATAGTACAAATCAATCTGTGGGGTTTTTTTTTAACTAAAGCCGGTCTGTGGTTCTGATCTTCAGAGGCATGAAGGTGATTGAGAACAGGGCGATGAAAGATGAGGAGAAGATGGAGATCCAGGAGATGCAACTGAAAGAAGCGAAACACATTGCTGAGGAGGCGGACCGCAAATACGAGGAGGTACGACCAGCGAGATCTCAGTTCAGCCGAGTTACTGCTTTGCTTAACTGTGATTTTAACGTGTCTTTTTTTCCGATATCAGGTCGCCCGTAAACTGGTGATCCTCGAGGGTGAGCTGGAGAGGGCAGAAGAGAGGGCAGAGATTTCAGAACTGTAAGCACAAGTCGCACAAACTTCTCGCCGGCGTCATTCAGCTGGTATCAGATAGCAAGTCAAGGTCGCTCGTATCCACAAAATAAAATGAATAATCATTTCTACTATTCATGTAGCAAGTGTGCTGACCTGGAAGAAGAGCTGAAGAACGTCACCAACAACCTCAAGTCGCTAGAGGCGCAGTCTGATAAGGTGAGTGTTCTTCTCCGCGCTTTGACAATCGATAGAGGGGCCTAGTGCGGCCAGTCAGCAGTAGATCACATCTTATAAAGCTGGTGTTACCCACAGCCGACATAAACGTCTACTTCTCTGCGCTGAATGAACTTCAAAACCGTAAAAAAACAAACATCTGACTTTATCTGAAAAGAGGCAAATGTCATCGGACATGTATGTGATATTTACAACAGAAGTATTGAGCACATCTATTAAATCTGTCTCCATAGTACTCTACGAAAGAAGACAAGTATGAGGAGGAGATCAAAATCCTGAATGACAGACTCAAGGAGGTAACTTCCTGCCTACTGGACTATATTCTGTGATTTATGTGGTGGCAGGATGGTTAACACGTGTGTCATCTTTTCAAAGGCTGAAACCCGTGCAGAATTTGCGGAGAGGTCTGTGGCTAAACTGGAAAAGACCATAGATGACCTGGAAGGTATGCTTCATTACATTACTTTTTTCTTTTTCATCCTTCAGTGATCCACTGTTTCCTCACTCAACCTTTTGTTCCAAACTTTAACGTTCTCACGTTTCTTATCCTTAATCTTTGATTTCTCTTCTTTTTTTTCATGGTCTGCACAATTCTGCCTCTCTCTCTCTCTCTGCCCTTTCTACCTGCAGACGAACTGTACACTCAGAAGCTCAAATACAAGGCGATCAGCGAGGAGCTGGATCAGTCCCTCAATGATATGAACACCTTGTAAACCTTGCGAGTAGTTCGCAATATTCTCGCTTTCCCGTTCTCTCCCCTCGGCCGCCTGCAAGCACTTTGTCTTTTTTCTCTTCTCCCTTTGCTGTCACTGCCCCTTGCCCCTTTTGCATGAAACTGAAGCTCAATAAAGATATTTATCTCTTTTATTCTGTCTTCTGTCATTTGAGTTCTGCCTGTTTTTCTATATTCACTGATTGTTACAAAGAGGTCAAATTGGTCGATTATAGAGAAGTTTTTCTTGTGGAATTTCCTCTGTAATCCTATATTAATAGATCACTCATTGCTCTTAGTTATTATGTTCACCGATAAAGCCATTATGTTTTATGATCTACTTTTTATTGCAGAGAACCTATCGAAAGAAAAAGAGCAAAACGTTGAAATGCATCAAGTCCTGGACCAAACACTGCGGGAGCTGAATAGCTTGTAAAACGCCAAGAAGAACATCAAGCAAATTAAAAAATAAAAGCAAACATTTGTTTTGCTAAATGTTTTCTACATGCCATCCAATGTCAGTAAATTTCTCTCGTAATCTTTGATATTAAAACAAACATACCCCTTTTATATATTTATGGTTCTTTTTTTTGTTGTTTTCCTATCTCTAAAACCGGTTTTGGGTCCATATGCTAATTAGTGTTGGTGCTGGAAATTGTGTTTGTAGAATGAACTCAGAGCACAAATTAAACTGATTAAGCGAGTTTTGTGTTATTTTTTACTATGTAGAAGTTCCGCATGTGTGTTTGTGGGTTCTTCGGCTAATTGTAACACTTCAGTTTACGTGTGCTTGCATGCACAGTATTTTCTTTGTGATGTCTAAAACCAGATCCTACAAATGTGAAACTGCAGATAAAGAAGGGCTGCAGGCCCTTTGGCCCCATAACAATGTTACTGATTTCAACATTGTTTTTTTCCACACAAACAAGGTCATTAGTGAGTAAAACTGAACTATCCTCATGACTACTACCAATCCATCCTTCTAAATACAATTCCACAATGTAATGTGGTGCACTCCAAATTAAGTAAACTTAAAGGCTCATCAAGAAAAATAGAAGTACACTACTGTACTTATATAAAGTGACGCACTTTACAATATGTACTTGTAGTATATCGCTATTGCTGAAGAATAGGCGTAGCGGAGTAAAAAGAATAGCATTTAGGAGGTCACCGATGTGCAGTGTGGACAAGGGCCTCGGACGTATACTTTAGCAGAGTGCGCCACTTCAATAAAAGTACAGATCGTAAACCTGAGTGAACGCCCACTGATCCCAGTTCAGTATAAACAGCTGGTGAATTCCGGGCCACCAGGGGGCGTAATATCTCCACCTCCAGGTCGCTGTTCCGCCGGGCGGGATTTCCGCAATAATATCAAGTATGGCGAAGACATACGACTATTTGTTTAAATTACTGTTAATCGGCGACTCCGGTGTCGGGAAGACATGCGTACTCTTCAGGTTTTCAGAAGACGCCTTCAACTCGACGTTTATCTCAACTATAGGTACGGCTTTGGGGATGTGACGTTGAACTGTAATATCTGTATATTTGCGATACGCCAAAGATGTGTGTCAGTGGCTCCGTCTACTTACTGAAATGCTGGTTATGCTACGTTTGGGACTGGAAGTAACGTTAGTTTCTCTTTGTCGTTAATAACATGTTATGTCACACATATGAACTCATTAATACGGGATAAATTCAAAATGAAACCCTGTTACTAGTGTGTTTTGAAGAAATCCAGTCTTCGTGGACCAACGTGTGTGCTTTATTTTCAAATTGATGCCGGGTGCTCCCCTTCCAGCCAGCTTGCGGTCAGCTAAGTTTCAACAGTTAGCGTTAGCCATTTGGCACCGTCTACATTCTGGTAAGACACCGGAAACCTTATGTTTAACACGCCATAGCTGGCTAATTTAAACATTATACCAGCTCTACTGTTTATGACTGCAAATAACACTCCCATATAAAACGAAGAAGCCGAGCTGCCGTTTTTTCTTTGTCTAAAAGTATCATTATTTTGTCCCAGTAGCGTCGACTAACGTTACGTTAACCTTTGACAGGTAGCGTTAGCTTTACTAAGCTAGCAAGTTGACGTTGTGATTGAAATGCCCGATACCTTTTCTATCCCCTTCAGGCATTGATTTCAAGATTAGGACGATAGAGCTTGACGGCAAGAAGATAAAGCTACAGATATGGTAAGTTTTCAAAAACTATATGTAACGTCAATTCCTGTAAGTTAACACCGGACGTCTGACATGCTAGCAGTGTATGGCCAGTATTTGGCTAATGAAGAATGGATGACACACACCTAACGTTAGCTTACTTAGTTTTTTCAATATTGGTCTTCAGGATGTTTCATATTTTCCCTGATCTTTCTGATAAATGAAACCTTTGTTGATGTCTATATGTGAAATGTCTTAATTCTGGTGATTTTTAGGGATACGGCTGGTCAGGAGCGCTTCCGAACAATCACAACAGCCTATTACAGAGGAGCAATGGTGAGGGTCTCTCTGTGTTATTTGTATATATAATATATACACGTACAATCCACCCTCCCGTGAACAACAGATCTTGACATCTATTATTGACACCTTTTTTCTTTTCTTTTTTTTACAGGGCATAATGCTTGTCTACGACATCACCAACGAGAAGTCTTTTGAGAATATCAAGAACTGGATTAGGAACATTGAAGAGGTATTTAATGGCTCAAATGCTTCCCTGTTTCTTTTGTTCGTTACTTTTTCAAATATCCAAATGGCTGCATGTAGAATTTTGTGTTTATAAATGTTTCTTCCCTTGATCTAGCATGCATCATCAGATGTTGAGAAGATGGTCCTTGGTAATAAGTGCGACATCAACGACAAGCGGCAGGTGTCCAAAGACAGGGGCGAGAATGTGAGACGTGGTTTTAATAAAATACTTCCAAAGGGTTATATTTTGATAATCAAACAAAACATGTCAACAGACTTTGTAAAACGTCACGTTTTTCTTTCAGCTCGCGTTGGAGTTTGGAATAAAGTTCATGGAGACCAGCGCAAAGGCCAACATCAATGTGGAAAATGTAAGTAGCTACTCTTCTTTTTGAGTTGTACTATGCTTAAGAGATCCTATGCCCATGTGTCAACATGAGTATTTATTCTGGTTTACAGGCATTTTTGACACTCGCCAGAGACATCAAATCAAAAATGGACACAAAATTGGTAAGCACTCTTTGACTATACAACTTACTCCTTTGCAATGTGAGAACTTGATAAATGTATATGTAATAATACATTTTCACCATCTCCTTAAATATTCTATTGTGTAAAACAAAGCTTTCACCATCAATAGCAGCAAGCCTCAGGTTGTTGAAAAGTACTTTGAGGATTAATGACATCGAAGTTGCTGAACCATATGACCTAATTGACTGGTTTTATTTGTAATTTTCGCAGGAGGGCAACACGCCGCAGGGGGGCAGTCACGGAGTCAAGATCTCAGAGCCTCAGAAAAAGACCAGCTTCTTCCGCTGCAGCCTTCTCTGAGGACCAAGTTCCCATACTGGCTGCCAGCTGGCTGGACATAAATGGACTGTGCTTCCTCTTAGCACTTCCTTCCCCTTACTTCTTTCTTCCCATCCATGGCCCGTCCACCCAGTCCACACAAGCCGTTATATTCCAAATAAGCAAAGGATTTCCCCTCTTCCTCTTCTGAAAGCTTCCAGTGGTGCATCTCTTTCATTCTAAAGAGGTCTGTTGTCTTTGTGTGTCAGTGGTTTATTGGTAGCGGACTCCACTAGGAGCATTATCCAGATGTTCTTCACCACACAAAAGACAGGCGCTTACTTATGATGTTAGTCTCGTTTTTTTGTTTTTTTTTAAGCACTCATATTTCATGCACCCGGAAGCACAACCCGGGGATCACAGATTAAATAAAGGTCATAGTTTTGGGCTTGCAAATACATATATCATATTAAGAACTATTTTTACTAGAGCCCGCTACATTTTTAAGTGGTAAATGCCAACCAGAGACTGATGGGCTTGAATACTAATGAAACAGAGCTCCACATGCGTTAATTTTCAAGGATGTGAATTATCACTTATTGGGCAGGCAGGGAATTCGATTCAAAGGTTCTCCACTGGAATCCTGCACGTGGGATTGCAAGTAGTCCTCGACAATCATTAGATGTGACTAAAAACGTCTGTTCAATTCATTTTATCATTCCTGCCTTAACGTTTAGGTGCTGGAAGGAAATTGGGCAACACAAATCCTAAAAATACAATTCACATTTCTCTCAAAGAACATTGATGTGACGTAGTCTTGCTTCTGCTTTCGGTGGTGTCGTTAGCAAGTTGGAAAGTATTGTACATTGGGGTGGGAACATATACCGACACTGCATTTTGGCCCATATGCAAGTTCACAATTGATTAAAATATTAGGATGTGCACACAGTACAATATAAACAATTATCCCAAAATTGGTAATTAAATTGGGCTGTACTCTACAATTATTCCTACCATTTTATATATATATACGTTTCAGTTTGAGTAGCTGGAACTAATGAATGTTTGTTGTTTTTGATTGAAAATTGACTTCAATATCTCATCCAAACAATCTATAATCTTGCCTTTTAAGTTGACTTGAAGGTTTTGTTGCAGCTCTGATTCTTAGTTGAGCTAAATGATGTCTCTGGTTATTTCATCAACAATTAAAACCCTTTTGACGTTTCCCACTGAAAGCCCCTTCTGCTATTCATGCAGCTCTCCTTGCACTTTACCAATAACCCTGTCCTGTACGTAGTCTGTGCCAAGTGATAGTTCTGCAATACAACAATACAATTATTTAGTTAAACGTTGAGTCACGTATAATCTGCCCTTTCCCTTTAAAAAAAAAAAAATCCCATTTCCTTATAAATTGATCTCTTACGTTATGTCACTAGTAGTGATCCACTGTCCTGGTATTAGTTCACTGAAAAACATTGCTCTAGTGTACCAGTATATCTTTATAAAAAAAAGAAGAAAAAAATCGAGCCCGCAATTTAATCCAACATTCTAGTTTAAAAGAGATGTTTTCTTGACTCATTGGGTGAACGATGGCTCGTCTGCCGCTGAAAGACGGCGCTTTAGTATTATTGTACACTTGTGCCTGTGTTGTTTGGTTGTGGCCCTCCTGTTTTGATGGCTAGGTGGCACCAGAGGCGCAGTACGCACTGTGTGTTACCGTCGGAATTAGTGAATACGTACCCTCTATTTTACATTGATGTTGAGTCTCCTGTGTTTCCACTGCTCCTCATTAATCCTTTCTTCATTTGTAACGCGTCTGAAAACCGATCTCCTATATGCACATTATTGAGGGAAGTTTCGCTTTTTGCTTGCCTGCACTTTTCTTTTTGTTTGAATATCTAATAATTCGGGACCTCATGACTACCATGGCCATTTGTCTTAACCGCTAGCCCTCAGTACTGTCATAGGTGAGCTATGCATTGTGAATCTTGGACCTGTGCATCTTTGTGTGATGTAATTTACCGACATACTTGTAGAGCCGTACAGTCGACACGGTGGGCTTTTTGTTTTCTTTGTGTCACTCACTGAGTCAAACACAGGACTGTGTAGAAATGGCGTTGCTACAACAACGCCCGCGGCATGACGGAAGATCAAGTAGGAAGCGGCTGGACGTTTAAATGTGGTAATTAATGCTTTTGTCTCGTTTGAGTGATACTGTAGCTTAAAGTCATAGACCAACATAGAGAGAAGACCTTTTGTGGAACTCAAATGGCATAAAGTTCAGCTGAAATGAAACTCAGATTTTCTTTGTTTTTTTAAATCATATCCTTTAATATTTTACTGTATATCCCTTTTTACAGCCATATTTTCATTCCATCGATTGTGAAGTACACAGGGAGAATAATCAAATACGTTTTGGAAAAAAAAAAAGAAGTGAAAAAGACATTGTAAATATCACATTGAGAAAAAGATCTACTTAAATTGTACTGTACTTTCTAAACCCATATGAAAATGTATCTACAATTTGTAGATATGTGTACTTTTGATTTAATAAAATTATAAAAGTTTCTTTCCTCACTGTCTTTATTGGCTGTCAGAGGACACTGTCAGTCGACCACAATGGAGCTCAACCTCTTTAATGAGGAATGGCTCTCCTTTTATTGGCCCTCTATGACCCACTATTCTGGCATGCGCGTCTCTTATAGTCCCGTGTAACTGAACCCCTTTCCATACAAAACACAAATCGACTGTTGATGGTCATAACTAATGAGCCTTGTCTTGATGAGTTGGCTTCTACCTCCTTGTGATGATATGAGCGTGCCGCAGTCGCACCGTGACACGCGTTATTTCTGCAGCTGCGACAATTGAAAAATTCCGGCGCGGAGGCTGTACGTTCATATAAGTCGAATGTGTTTACAGCAATGCCCCCGTTAAAGGAAAGGCGTTTCTCAAAGTACCCACTCTGGATGCTAAATGTCAACGTCAGATCATCTCTGATCAGAACGTTTTTCCAATATGAAGAAAAACATTAGTTATTGATGAGATGGTTGATTTGGGGGTGATTGAGATTAACAAATATACACTGTTGCTTCGTTTCTTTATATCCTTATGTGGAAGGTGCTGTGAACAGAAATAAGAATAGTTTGATATCCTCATTAGTGTTGAAAACAGTATGTTTTGGGGGGGGGGGTCAATGCCCATTAGATGACACCGTTGATAGTTTATCATTGGCCCACCTGAGGAAGTCTGGAGCTCGGACAATCATGTGCTGGAAGTCCTCCAGGGACAGACGTCCGTCGTTGTCCAGGTCGGCCTCGTCGATGACCTTCTCGCACACCATCCGCACCTCGTCCTCCGTCAGCTCGTTGCGGGTCAGTTTGTTCAGCGTCTTCACCAGGTCCGACTGGCAGATGAAGTCGTCGTTGTTGAAATCTACCAGAAAATGTAAAAGGAAAAAGGTGTGAAATGCTTGATGATTTCTTTGTATTCATATATTTTTACTGAGTTATATTTTACTGAATATCTTGGGGGGTTTTGTGCTAATTTGCTGGGGCAAAACCAACTTGTTGACATTTGTCAGTCATTTCTGACATTATACAGAGCAAACGATGTAATAATCAGATGAATCGATTGGGTTACATAGACGCAGCTAATGTTTTGGACTCTTCGTCTTTTCCGTAGTTTTATGGTCAAGGTAGAAACTGGAATTTCCTCCTCATGTTTAATGAATATCTTGATTTGAAGTCGAGGCACTGATGGAACATATATGTGCTCAGTCAGCCTTTTCTGGGGAATTTTAGGTATCTGGGCTAATGTGACCGTTCTTTTTACACAATGCAAATGACAACGACGATGATGTGTACATAACTTCTTCATCCGTCAGCGTTTGTTAATTAGGGGGGACTCGTGCTGGGGACAAAATGTCCTTTGACAAGCTGTCTCTGCCTCTGTGACAGGCTGGTTAATCATTCATGACATTCCATGCACCATCCATCATGCTTACAGCTCCTAAACCTTCCACCGGGATCCTTTTTCATGTGTTCATACCGTACTAGAACATAAAACATGTTCATGTTTGATCGACTGTTATTCAACCTGCTTCATAGTTTTTATTTATTTATTATTTGCTCACAGCTTTTGGTGTCAGGGTCCTTTATCATACCTTCATCGTAATGTTTTTTATGTGTTCTGATTGTCACCTGCTAATAACATTAAATAACACTTAGCAACGTTTGCTCAACTGGTGAGAGGACGTTGTGACAGCCTGTTTTTTTGGTTTAATTTCTATAATACTCAACAACTGTATATTTTTCAAGTAACACACGCACGAGTTGTAATTTCATCGAACACACGTTGACCTTTTCCAGATAGGCTACGAAGATGTCTTGTGGAAATGCCATTAAGGACTGCAAACAACGAGGAGTCATCGCTCATGTGAAAAAATTGTTACTTTCAGTCATTATTACAATTGATACATTTACCATAAATTTTGAAAGCGTAGTAAGCCTTGAGGTCGCGCGGCGCCATCTCACTCAGAACTGAAAACATGTCCAAGAAGTCGTCCAGCGTCATGTTTCCCTCTCCGTCCTCAGAGAAAACCTCAGCGATCCTCTGGCGAAACGGGTTGTCCTGGACAGAGGGGACGCAAGTCCTTCTACCGGTTAGATAGTGCGACACAACTATGAACTGTTGCTTCTTCCATGTGATGCCTCTCCTTTGCTCTGTGTGATTTTTGGTTCAATTCATCACTCATCTTCTTTTTTTATTTGCATCTTTTTTTGGGGGTTTGCTTTTCTCATGTGAATCCCAGTAAGCTCTAAAATTTGGAACAAGGAACCCACGCAAGGGGAAGGTTTCTGTCAGAGATCAGCTTGTTAACACACCTTGCTTGTTTACCTTGCTGTCCTTGTGCAAAGAGGCATATAATTTACCCATTTCCAACAAGCGCTCCCTGAGGGACTCACCAGCGTGCTTCAAGTTTAAAGGGGTCGGGTAACATATAATGTTTCAAAGAATTCTGTCGATTAGTTGGCCATTAATTATGGATTGGGAACAAAGGGAGAGAGCGCTTCTGCAGGTCGTGCGTGGACCAGAGGGTCTACCTTCAACTCTGGCATGCTGCCAATCAGCTCATACGGTAACTTCACATCTGGCTGGCCGGTGTAGTCAAGGGGAACGAGCTGCGGGGCCAAATCCCGATAGCGGTCGAACAGTCTAGGGAAGGTTTGAAAAACGTTTACTTTCAGCGTTAAACTCCAAAAATGATCTCGATGCTCGATGCCCCCCCCCACGGAAGGACAGGCTTCCTGAAGCTGTAGTTTCAGAATAGTATTGTGCAGAACAAACCAAAATGCAGCGGTTTCCTGTGTGTCACACACCAGCCATGACTACGGTAAGATGGCGCACCCCTTCTGATGTTTGTGAAATTATTGGCTCACCTGAGAATTTCTTTTCTTGTAAAATATGTACAGTCCTGCAAATACAAATCAGATTATGGCAGAAAAGTCAAGTTATTGCAAAAGGATGCAGCTCTTCAAGGGTTCTACATTTCTGGAAGTACTAAATGTGAAATTGCAAGTTCCCCTGTAAAACCTACAAGTATAAAGTACCGTCAAATGAAAACACTTAAAAAGAAAAGGCCGCAAAATAATACTTGCATGCAAACTCAAGTAAGGTAATTATGTCTGTAGTTAAATTCCAGCACTGGTTTTATATTCAAATATATCTGTTAAGCAAATAACATTTCCAACCTTGATTATAACACTATTCCCTGCGTGCAGATGACTGACTGACTGTCAAATGTCTGAAGACGACCTTGTTTGCGGTTGCCGGTAGCCCGTATTGATAAGAGATGCACCTTCTTTTTTTTAAGTGATTGAGGCTAATCGTCTCATTCAGTAAGTAAGAGGATTACCACCAACCTGATAGGCGTCTAGCTGCTCTGCGGTAAAGATGGTCTGTTTATTCCCCATGTCTGAGCACGCAAACGCCAAGCTTCAGGTCCATCGCTGCTGCAGCATCCAGGGCTTTTTTTTTTTTAAAGGGTGTGTGTATATTTCAGATATGAAATACTGGGACAAAAGGAAGCCAGAGCCAAAGAGGAGATCGGGTGTCGGACAGCCAGCGGGCCCTTTGGTCCCCATTATAATGGCAGCATTTCATCGTTTTCTCCTTTGTGAATAGCGGACCCTTTGACAATGAATGTGGGCTGTCGTCCAGCATCATGCCAAGTGGTATCAACCCCCTTTAGTGCCACTCTATGGCCAACGCCTCGGTCACGGCTCAGGTTACGCTCTTTACAGACAGGCTTTTGCAGTGCGCCAAAAGACCTTTAGACGGCTGATGAGTTTTCTTTCCGCTGAGAGCTCCGTTATTAGAGATTTATCCAATAGCGTGCATTATTACTTTCAGCTATTACGTGACCTAAAAACTAACTTTAAAAATAAAAAAATTCAATTACCACCGGTATGACTTGTGTCATACCCAGAGGTAGATTCAAGGTACATTGAAATTAGAACCACAACAGAGCTAAAATAATATTGATAATAACCCTATGATTCCAGATAGTAAAAATGGTAAAACAGGGATAATAAGGACAGTTTGGCATCAAAACATTTTGTTTAAAGCGCTATAGAATTGTTCCGTGAGCGCTGAGTAGAAAGGAAGATCTTACAAGTGATTTAAGTGACACAAAGAAAGGTTTCATGTAAAATCCGCTCACATTTCTTAAACACAGTGTTGTTTTATCAGGCACTCTGCTGCATAATGTCATAGTTCAATTCCAATTCCAATAGGGAAAAGTAAGACTAGCAAAACCTTAAAGTTACTGTGAGAAACTTTTATCTGTTTGTGAAAGTATCAATCACACCCCGGTGGCTCTGCCACTGACATAAGTTGACAAGACCGTTACATTTCTAAGTTTGGCTATTTCTACATACTAGTACATTCCAGGCCATTTAGTTTGGCCTGCCAGAGGTTAACGCAGGAACGGGAGAAGCGGACTGCATGTGTACAGCTGACTGTCAGACCCGGCAGAAAGGATTTCTCAAGGGATTCTGGTTCTTGTGAAACACTTTCGTCCACAAGGACAACCCCAATTCAGCATGAAAGAAGGTTTCTTGAAGTTATTTTATGCACATTTACTGACACTAAACTTTGCTGGTTCCTTGTCATTCTCATCAAGCCAGGGAACTCTGCTGTTTGTGCCTCAGCCTCCTCTGCTGGTGAGGAGGGAGCTGTGCAGACTGGATGCCTTTGTGGATCTGATCAGGTGCAAAGGACCAATCTACTGCTTCTCTGCTTGTTTCAGCAAACCTGTACTCATTTGACAACTTTACAAGCATTCCTCCAACGGACCATTTTTGTGCAAATACTGCATCACTTAAACAATCAATTACACCTCAGTTTAGACCCACTTGAAATAATGTTATGATTTATAATCGTTTCTTTTTTTTACATAATTTATTGTGACTGCAGCATTTCACAACAGAAAAAATAAGATTGACGTTCACAACTTCTACAGGTTATCCCTTCCATCGCTGGCATATATTATAATTTATAGATATGTACATATATTACAACGCCACATTTGGCTGTTCATGCATGAGAGCTATATTTACATTGTATTTTTTTATAAATATCTGTGCAGCCCGACAGCACTGACTGGTCGATGTCAGTGGCAGCCACAACTTCCAGCCACCATGTCGTTATACTGTTTCAGCACCACATTCTCATCGTCGTCGAAGTACAGCAGGTTGATGGAGAAGAGCTTGTCGGGCACGCAGCACGGCGTCTCAATGCCTCTGATCAGCTTCAGGGCGTTGATTATGGACTGGACGGTGGCGTGGTTGGTGGGCCTCATGTTCTGACCCAGAGGGAAGGGGCAGGAGCCTTTGCAGTGGTACGCGTTGTAGCCGCGGGGAGACACGATCCAGCCCGACCAGCCGATCTCCTCGAAGTCCACGTAGAGGGGCTGGCGCTGACAGGGCAGAGACGCCGTTTCCTCCTCGGTGTAGTCCAGGGAGCGGGCGGTGCGGGAGGATGGACCTGACATCGGGGTTTGGGGCAAGTTGGAAGTTTCTGTGTCTGTGGTGTCATTTGGGTCTGCAGAGCAAAAGAAGAGTATTTTGTCAGAAAACACAGCATTTTGACATCAAATCTTTCTTTTGAAGAAACCCAGTAGAAAGTGTGTTTTTACTGTCACTGGGCCATGACAAGTTCGGTCCAATGATGTTAAAGTTCCCCTGAATCTCACCCAAGCTTTCCAGAGTGGTGGCGCGGCGGCCGTCGTCGGTGAAGAGCACCAACATGGGCTGTTTGCTCTGGTGGTGGGTGCGTCCCGAGGCGAAGCGGATCATCTTCATGTCCATCGTGCTTCCCCCCAGGGTCCGAACCACCACGTGGAGCCCCAGGTTGCTGTCTTCATCTACCATCCAGGATCGCACCTTCACGAAGAAGTTCAAGTTATTGGTCGATCCAAGTCAACAACACGATTCACAGAGTTGAGTTCAGATTGCACGTACATAAGGTAGTGCTTACTCACTGCTTGTGTGATGGTGAACACTTCCCAACCGGTGGAGTGGACCGGGATGAGTCGAGAAGACAGCAGCTTCCTGCCCTGCGTTTTGTTGTTCCTGCTGGTGTCCAGCAGTTGATAAATACTGACCTGAATGAGGCGGAGGAGATGAGGGGAGGTTACGGCGAGGTCTAAAAGAGAGATATTTCCCAATGGGACCCATGTGCTTGTGAAATGGCACGTACCTGGCAGAAATGGTGTCTGTTGAACGCCAGCGTTGACTGAGGTCGCAGCTTGAAGAGATGGAGCTCGGCAGTGAGAACCTTCTCACTTCTAGCGACCGAGGACAAGTTGAACCTGAACTCCACCTGTTCACTGTGCACTGCAATACAAAGGATATCATTAGAGACCGGCGCATGATAATACTGCATTGTGTGTAGTAGCCAGCGGCGCAAATCAATGCCTTACATTTGTCAAAGAAACTGCGCACAGTATTCCCCTCCAGCAGGTACGGGTCTTTGGTGACACCGTCGACATCCGCGACCGTGTTGTACAAATCGAGCATGTACTGAGGGGCCTGTTTGTGTCCATGGACAGCGGGGGGGTCCTCCATCCCAAAAACCTCCAAAAGTCTCTTGATGGCAGCCGAGCGCACTTCCTCCGACTCCGTCTCGGCGGTGAAGTGACTCTCCAGGTCGCCGAGCGGAGGCCGCGCCGCGGCGCCGCGCGCCACGGCGGCGAGGGTGAGGAGCAGGAGCATCATCGTCTGAGAGCCTCGGGTGCAGATCCCTGTCGTGCGTCGGGTGTCCTCGGAGCACACAAACCCCGGACGGCGACTTGGAGTACGAGTGACTGCAGGCTGCTGGAAGCGCGACGTTTTATATCAAATGCTCCCCATTCGCTCCGGAGTGCCCCCGAAGCCTCGGCAAACAGCAGTAAAGATGCTGTTCAGTCGCAAATGTAAATCGCCAATCAGCGAATGTAAAGGGAGACTAATGGCGGCGTTAACAAGGTGTGAAGCCGATTGTAGATTTTGTTCAAGCCCATTGTCCCCGCGTCTGGCAATAAAGGCACAAATAAACTAATTCCAGCCTGTGAGAAACCTGGATGCTTATTGAGCAGGGATGTTGTTCTTGTGGCGTTTATTTCCTCCCTGACGTATCGTACACCGAGGGGGAATATAGCGGTTTAAAGTTGGGGCTGATCTGTTGAGGAAGTGTACTCTCCACGGGAGGTTAACGGCTCCTAAATGAATCCATTCATTTAGAATGATGGTCCCAGTGTCTTAGGTGGAAACCAATTACTCGGATAAAGAGACTGGTGTCGCTGGCTACACGTCGCCAGATTTACATAAACTGCAAATCGTTACAGTCGGATCATCACTGAATTTTAGTCTTGTGATTTTTAGAAACATTCCGATTGAACTCGTTATGTCTAAGTTAATATGTGGTTTAAAAGATTGCTTTTTCCTTCAGCGTTTCCTAGAATTTCCCCGATGTAACAAATACATCATTAAAGGGCATATTGTGCTCATTATGTTTCTGTAAACCGGAGATGTTGAGTTCTGCTATATATTATTTCTGTATATGATCTAAATAGTATTATCCCGGACCAAAAAACAAATACATGTGAAGTGCTTCATGATTTATTAATCAAAGCCAACTCTATCCCATCCAAAGAAACTGTCTCTCTGTGCCTTTTGGTTACTTTGATCTTTTTACGCACAATTACGCACGAGGTGCTGACTGAAGAAAGTCTGTTACCCGGACAGTAAAAAATATTTTAGAGATCAAAGGTTTTCTTTACATCACACCTAGAAAACTGCAAGTCATAAAACCCTTTATAGTTTTACAGAAAAAACACAAGAGTTGTTTCACACGTTCATATCAAATAAGTTAACTGCTTGCACGTGCTTTCTTCAAAGGGACATTTGCGAAATTGGTTTGCTTTTCATGAGCTCCTTTGCAGGTATCATTCAGTCTAATATCATTTCTTTTACATTTTTAAATTTGTATAAGCATTTAAAATAGGGCTAAAGTCTGAATGCACTGTGTCCTTTGCTTTGTATTGTACCTTTTCAAATTATTTAAGTTGTATTAGCAGTTTAGTTTGTTTTGTGCAGTGGTCCCATGACAAGTCCTCACACATTGGTGTATTATATTTATTTACAAAATTATCCTCTTTGCATATATTACATATAGTACAATAATACTTTAGGGAAGCAAATTCTTAAGCAAATGTTAGTGGTGGAGTCGCCAGTGGCTGTGACTTCTGAGATTGGAGGTTGTTGTCCAGTAGGAGGCGCCGTGTTCAGGTTTGGCACAGACAGGAAGTGATGGAGAGGATGGTGCGGATCTGACCATGCTGGTTGAGGAAGTTGTGGCTCTCGTAGCCATGAGGAGCACACGAGCCGGGCTGCCTTTCAGCCCATAAGTGGCAGATTTCAGGATGTGATTGACTCCTGCAAGAGAACATCAATCATCTTCATAAGTACGTTGTAAGTTCTGCACATGGACTCCTGCAACAGTTCACTCTAGTAGGCGAGGTGCTTTCATGTTATGATCGATTATGTTTGGCCACTGATCTTTTTGAACCTTTTATTGTCCAATAATACTACAATAAATTGCGCCTAAGCTTTAGATGGCGTCCGACCAAGAAACCTGTTTTATAGCAGGTATGTGCACAATACACAACATGAACCCCATGCATTATGCTGTTATTAAACCAAATCCCAAAGTTACACTTTGCATCCCAGAAATACACTTGATTTTGAATTATAGTTGCAATACCAACGTTTTCAAAGATGAAGAACTTGTCAGGGGGGAATTTAGAGAAAATGCGTTTAAAACAAGGTTTCAAATGCGTTCAAGAGCAAGATTCTTAATATATGTTGGTGCAGCCATAAAACATCAAAACAAAACAAGTGTAAACACCATTTAGCTCGATTCAAGTGCTGCAACCTGTCCACAAGTATGGAGTTATTCAAACTGTCGGAGTTTAACTACCACATGAGTAAAAGATTCACATAAAGTAACACATTTTACCTTGATCATTTCACATAACTTCATTTTATGAAAAACGAAGAAGGAGAAGCAGTACAAACCAATGCATTTCTTGCACTGGTATTTCTGACAGGGGGACATTTGGTGAGGGGATTTATGGAGGACAACATGCTGAGTGCAGAAAGTGTCAGAACTCGCAGGCAATTGTTACGAGCGAGGCGGAGGAGGTGTGTGGCTGGGTGTGCGCGGCAGCTGTGTTCATGCTTACCTGACAAGGCATCGGTTTCCTGTGGTGCAGCCCCCCAAACATCTGCCCACATCTATTTCCTGTGGAAGATTAGCAACACAGAGAGAGGGCAATCAGCTCACAGCTGGGCACAAATATTGACTCAGTTGAGTTGGAGCCCGGCTGCCTTTTTTTTTTTTTTTGCATTTAACAGCTGTTGTTCGACACCTGCAGGAGCCATTTGTGTTTGCACTGCGCTCGCACCTTCCGAGCCGAGGGACACAATGTGTCCAGGATTTCGAGTTCTTAAATCATATCATTCATACCGTGAAGTCTGATGTCTTATTGTATTATGTAGATATTTGTGTAGGTCGGGAATGAACTTTGTATGTGCAAAGTGGGGCGTTTGTGAATTGCAAAACTTTGCGAGACAATAATGACTCCCAATTCGCAACATGGCACCAGAGCTGTTTAACTCAGGTTTTGATTTCACTTTCCTGAATACAACTGAACTAGAACTCAAATCTGCCAGTCTGTCATGTGTATTGGCTTATGAATGAGCACGCAACCCATCCTGCAGCCACCGGCCAAAGGATTATCTTAATTAAGTGCTGTCGTCCACACTTGTCTCATGAATGAAGATACTTCTGACTGTCTGGCACCTAGCGAGACCCCCGTTTCCTCTCAACTTTACTAGAAAACTCAAAGTGTGAAACTGCGTCTCAAATGTGTCCCTCTTGTAGTGTTACGTATGTCCTGCTAGTCAACGAAGAAGTAAAGGTTATTTTTAGAGACTGGATACAAACATAGGGTTGGATCAACACACGATTTTTGTTGATGAACAAGACTGATGATTGATAAGATCCAGTGATAAAACTTCAGAGTTAACACCTACTTTGAGCCTCTCCTCCTTTACGCCATCCGCATGGTGGACTGTTTCATAGTAATACTCCACGTATGCGACCCTGTAGCAGCTTTCCTTCAGCTCGCAGGCCGCCACCGTCCGGACGAGGTCCCCTTTGTTGGGGGTCTCCACCAAGACTGAGTCAAACGTAGTGGGGACGCAGGATAATCCCTCTACGGAGGATTAAAAAGAGCAAACGTGAGAGTCGTCCACCAGCAGGAGCAATAGCTGCGTTATAATCTGCGATCCAAAGGTGCATAAACGGACGAGCAACATTTATAACACAGGTTTAGCTTTGTGATCACTCCCAAAAGGCCCAATGTGGCTCTGAATACACTAGACATCGACTTCATGAATGGTGTTTTGTTCTGGTGCGCTTACAGGATAGTGTATTTCAGAACTATTTGGAAAAGAGACGTATAAGAATGCATGTATTTTATCACTGAATCAAACTCATGCATTACATTTAGCAACAAATGGCCAAAAAGTAATGTACGGTTCATTTTGATCAGCATAATGAGCCCAGCTTTGACTGGGCCTGCAGTCAGTATCATTATAACTTGGTTATAATGAAATTGTTAGCCCTTAAACATACAAATATATAAACACAGTGACACTGTTGTTGTGCAATGCAATAAAAAGATCAGGTTAATTTGATCTGGTAATCTAAATGCAGTGACAACTACAGTTCCTTAATTTAAAAAAAAATGTTTTAAATGTTTTTGCATCCTTGCTGCTAATATATTGTGCACGCTTTTCATTCCTTTTCAGTCATTTTTCATTTGATTATCTGCTCACTGTTAAGTTGAGCCTCTCATTCCTGTTTTGATTGACAGGCACGCACACACACACACACACACACACACACACACACACACACACACACACACACACACACACACACCTGGCGCGCCCTTGGACCGGGAGCATCCTCCCACGTCGATGACCGTCTCGTACGGCGTCTCGGAGTGGTACGTCCTGAGCGCGGGGACCCGGATGCACTGCGTCAGCCTGACGTCGCATTGGCACTCCTGGATGACCTCCACCTCCCGGGGCCCCTCGAACAGAAGCACCGTGTCCACGCGCATGCCGGTCGCCTCGCACACCTGGTTCACCCCGCACGAGGCCAGCTGGCTCGGAAGCTCCGGGCTGTCTGGGGAGGCAGATCCGCGCGTCCTCGTCTTTAGTGAAGGAGAGAGTGAGAAAGAGAGAGAGAGAGTAGTTGTTGGTTTTGGTCAGACATGTCTCGGCATATTTCTATGAGCATCCGTTTAGTGATGCTACTCAGTTTCAGTGTTTGTACACGTGTAGTTTATGCAATGTTTTTATTGTCTTATATATGTTGAGTCCCACGCCCCCACGCCCCGTGTTTATCTCAGAATATCACTTTTTTGCGTTTTATTTAAGTAAGTGATTCGCTTATTAACTGTATTTACATGATCACGTGTGTTTTCTATGGGAAATTGACCGGGACGATCCGGGCGACGATCACGAAGCAACAGCGAACTCTTGCGGCCACGCGGGGAACTACACTTACTCTCTTGCTCCTGAGAAATTCCAGCATCGAGGCATGTTTTGAGTATTCTTGCTGCCCCGCTTCGTGTGACGGCCTGGATACTCCCCCACAATGCGACCTGCACATTCCCACATCAACACTGACAGGACTCCCGGATATGTCTGCGGAGAATGAGGGACACATATAATGCATTTGACGGGATTTATTGTATGATCGTGTTGGTGTCTTCTACATTTCACATTCTTTGGGGGAAAATCCATCCTTGGCTTCTTTTAAACATATGCATTTACTGAAGTAGAAGATGTGCCGGTGCTTTACCCTGTCCCAGGTAGACAAAGTGGCTTTGTCTTTTGCAGCACAGTCTTTGTGTGAACAGGTTTCTGTGATCTACGTGTTTGCTCAACACTCCGGTCGCTGGAAAACAGAACACAAACGTCAGGGCGTTAACACTGTTGGCACTTTGGTTCCAGGAGTTCCAAAATTAGCATAATTATCACGTTGCACAGGTTCACTTGTAAAGGCTCAATAGGGCATAATCGGTGTTCCTAAATGTTATTTGTTAATAAAATGCATTAATCAGCAGTTCTTTAGGCATAGACAGACATATAAAAGTTTGAGTTTGAAAGAAATACATTATTGAGTTATAATAAATAAAAACATGACTTGACTATTATAGACCGAAAAAAAACAAAAGACATTTTTTATTTGACTTTTCATGAAAAAAAAGCGTTTATATTCAGTGAACGAAAGTGCGTGTGTTCAGCCTTTCCCCCTGTGTACACACACGTTTACAGTCCTATCATTGGGAGTAAGTACATTTGAGCAGATCCGTCTCGGCCCATTTAGTGAAAGCTTATACTTTACATGTCACACCAGCAGTAGAGAATAGTGCAAACAGTACTTACAGGTCAGGCGGAGGGCGCACAGGAGGAGAAGAAGTGGCCCGGACACATCCATGGCTCGAGTCCCAATCTGCTCCTCAGCTGCCAAATACGTGAGTGTCCCTCTACTCACCGATGCCTCTGATATTTATGTGGGATGAAGCTGCAGCCCCAAATAATGCCTGAAAACCAGCTCTCAACGTGGTGTGGGGTCAGAAAAGAGGGCGCGCTAATCCAATTTCCATGCTGAATGCCTTGTGGGATGGAGTTCTTACGAGCAGGGCCCACTTCAAAGGAAGTCTCCCCAGTTTTCCTGTTTCTGCCTTCGAGGGACGCGGTGGCTCGAGTGTGTCGACCGGCCCGAGCTCTCCCTAATGAAGGGCTTAAGTAGCCTTGAGCCATTAGGGCGACGCTCATTCAAAGGCATTAATCATCTTTTATCTCAGGGGGAAGGTGTTTAGCACCTCCGACTTAAAACAAAAACCCGGCCCAAACACATAAACAGGATCAGCGTGGGGGCCCCTTCTGAAATCTCCAGCACCTTTGTGTTTATTCAACATGACGCCAAATGGCCAGACCTCTTAGAGCTGCGCTTAAAACCTCAGCGCCCTTCTTCCCTCTGCAGAGGAAAGGGACAAAATGAGGGATCAGAATATACTTTTACTGACAATGTTAATCTCTGATTTAATAAAACATATATGATTTATAAAGGATACTTAACTAAGAACACAGATATGGCCAAAATAAATCAAGCAAATCCATCCCAAAAAACTAAATATTGTGTTATGTTCCTTTTTTCAGACATATCCCGTCATGTTTTTAAAAGTCTTGTTTTAATCACAGGAAGCGACTTAGCCGTAACGTCGGCATTGTGCTGATTCTCCATTCGTGTTTAAGGTGTTAGTCCTTCCTTGAAGTGTTGATATGATCCCCTCATTTTCACCGGGATCATCGTCCACTTAGCCGTCGGCACTCAGACACCTTGATTGAGGTGACACCTACAGCGGTTTCAATTGTTGCCTCATTTCATTAAATTACAACAAATCTTATTGAATGAATGAAGCATAATGCTGGTAAAACACAGATTTAGTCATAGTAATTACTTGATTTAATCATGTAGATGATGACATGTAGTCAGAAAAAGATGATCACAATGGTTTTTTTTAAATGTAAGGGGCACTTAATGAGGGCGGGGCAGTAAACAAAGCTTTAATGTTTGTTAAATAATTTATAATTCTGTGGTGCCAGGGGTCAAAGGTAAAGTGACTAAAATTTAACGCTGTCTTATTTCTCCTTCTTTCCTGCAAGGTTTTCCTATTTGATATACAGAATTGGCATTTTTCTTGTTGTTGAATAAGTGGAAAAAATTCCTTTGGTGAGGAAGACTGTGTGATAATTAAAAGCTCTGGAACAGTTACAAATGATTGTTTGTGGTTATTGCCAATTGCTTCATATGTCAAGATTTACTCTCCTGCAACTCTCAAGACTTTAGAAGTTCTATTTTGCTCTTAAGATAAGCTACAACATGTTTTTCATTTCTCCTCATCTGTTACTCCCCTTCAGTCGTCATTCTGGTAGTTAGTGGCCTCATCTCTGCGTTTCTCATGTTTCGTCTCGGGGGAACAAATAAAACTGCCCCCTGAACGTTATACCTTCCTCAAATGCACTCCCAACAATCCTCCAACATTCCCTGTGCGGAGAGATGATCGCCGAGGGGTGATTGGATTACAATGAGCTGCACGTGACGCACTCATGCATGATGACCGTTCCATGAGCCCCGTGTCCAGTGGAGGACGACGGGAGGGGCGATTAAAAGAGACACTTTGTCCTGAGATGCCCGTACAGACGGTGTGACGGTGTTTCTGGGTCACTGTGAAGCTGTGTAGTCCCGGTCAGCGGGCCACGGTCACTGGGTTCACTGCCCTCAGCTGTCCGGTGTGGTCGTGAGTGTGAGGACATGTGTTTTGTTTTGATTTGCTGAAAAATGAGCCCTTTTGGGCTACATAAAACCACTGAATGGAACTGTGGTTGCACATCAGACGAAGCAAGAAAATTAATTTAAACATTCATTTATAATTTGACAAGCAATCAAATGTTTATCTAATTTATCTGCACTTTATAACCTTTCCACAGTCGCTTGACCCCAATCAGTAATGATGGTCATATGTAATGTAGAAATAATCCCATCAGGGTCCTGATCAAGCAAATTCATCAGGGAGGAGTCCAACTCTGGGATTACAGAGGCGTCCTGCGGTAGTCCTGGATTATACAGCAGGAGACATTACAGCAGCAAAGGCGAAAAAGAGCAGCGTCCCGACAGCAGATCTGAGCAGTGCCATCTGGGATATAAATCATGTATTTGACCAGCAGAAATATTGCCGTCAACACAGGAAGAAATAAGAAGAACGTTAAAGGGAAGACAAGTGAGTGCAAACACAGATATATTTAAGGCAACACGATGCAGGAAATAATAATTTCGTGCCTCTTTATAAATGTTTCTGTTCCACCCCGTAACTATTTTCTCCGTCTCAGGGGCTCAGTTAAAGACAATTGGGCGTCAGGAGGAGATCCCCCTGACGTCCCCAAAGGCGGGGGAAAAGTTGGAGGCCAAGGAGAGCACGGCGGTGGACGGGGAGTCGAAGCAGCTCACTGCCTTCGGGAAGGCCTGTCATGATTTGACCCACTCAGAGAGGGTGATTAATGAGCTGACGTTTGGACGGCGGGTGGGACTTTATGAGCTGAGAGGAGAGATCGGATCGGGGAACTTCTCCCAGGTTAGATTGGGGATACATGACCTGACCAAAGGTGAGATGCTGACAAGAGTTATTATCCTAAATCTGTTGTAATGATAATTTGGCCCGAAAAGACCTCACAGCAAGACAATGAAAACAGACACTCTGTAGGAATACAACAAAAAGGAAAAGCTGCACTACATGACATAAGCCTTGAAAAATAGTCCTTGTGTTCCTTGTGGCCTCATTGCCCGTATTTGTATCTGTCATCGTCTGGTAGAGAAAGTGGCAGTAAAAATCCTGGATAAAGTGCGTCTGGGCAAGAAATCAAAAGCGGCTTTTGCCTCGGAGATTTCTTGCATGGAGAAGCTGGTTCACCCCAACATTGTCCGACTGTATGAGGTGGTGGAGACGTTCAAGAGGCTCTACCTGGTGATGGAGTATGCCGGTGGAGGAGAGCTGTTCTCCCATATCAGCACCAGGGGGCGTCTGTCAGACCTGGAGAGCAAGCTTGCGTTTTCACAGATCACTTCTGCAGTCAAACATATGGTGAGTTACCGGCACGTCTGTGGGGAAACATGGAGACCAGCGCAATTTGGGGAAAGAAAAGACATTCCCACTGTCTTTAAATAACAAAATGATTGATATGATATAATGAAGATAGGGGTGGGTATCTATAAGCTTTTGCTTCCCTCTACTCCTTTTCTTGAACAAAAGGTGACTTTTCTAATTTTGTGGTCTATATGTCTATGTTGATTTTTAAAATGTTTTTAATGTCTACATGTTCATGAAATAAAATGCTTCAAATCAAATCAAATTGATAGGACCTAATAAGATTGCTAGAACATATCATAGAACTGTAATAATGAATACAGGCATGTGATAGCATACAGCTTTTCTTTTGACCCTGGATTCAACCAACTGTGCGGGAGAGTTGAATGAAAATGCCTCAAACATTTCTCACTTCTCTTTCTTTCCCACAGCATGACAATAATATCATCCACAGGGACCTGAAGGCAGAGAATGTCTTCTACACCAACACCTTCTGCGTTAAAGTGGGCGACTTTGGTTTCAGCTCGATCTGCCGCCCCAACGACGTCCTTCACACATTCTGTGGCTCCCCACCTTATACGGCCCCCGAGCTGTTCAAGGAGAAAGGCTACGTGGGTAGATATGCGGATATGTGGGCGCTGGGTATCTTGCTCTACTTCATGGTGACTGCCACACTGCCATTCAAAGCTACAAACACAGGCAGGCTGCGGTGTTGCATCCTGCAGGGCTCCTATGCCGTTCCTCCCTACGTACCCAGATCATGCAAGGAGATCATCGCCGGCCTCTTGAGGCCGGTTCCCGTTGATCGCCTCACTGCCAAACAGATCGCGGACAGCGACTGGATGAGAGGCATCGACCGCCCCGAGGCGTCCCTGTCTTGTAGCCCCACGCCCTTCCACCTGGTGGAACCCGCCCGCATCCTCAGCGCAGATGAAGTGAAAGTGAAGGCAGCGCTGGAGGATCTGGGCATTACCAGGGTCCAAGTCCTCAACGGCAGCCTGGACCTGAAAAGCCCCGTTAACGGCACTTACCGCATTTTGCTGCACCGCGTCCAAAAGAGAAGGACCGTGGAGGCTGTGGGCTACAGCCCGCTTTCCGCCAAAGAGTCTCAGAAAGGAGTCGCGTGGAGGGCGGGCCCAGACGGCCGCTCAAACAAACACCACTCTGTGGTCTGCATCATCATGTAGTTTAGTTTCCCAGCAGTTAAGCACTTTGCCTCCCGGGCCTTTGGCCTGGTACGCGTACTTGAGAGCCAGGCTGGTGGTTTTCCTCCTTTTAAAAGTGTATATCTTGTTTAAGCAAAGCTACAAGTGCAGAATCTGATATGTTATTGCTCTCGTGCAATAAATGTTTATTGTTGACAGATAATAACACGAACACATAATAATATATTTCCATAAATTCTGAGCAGAAAATATTTTAGAGCCTGAACATGACAGAAATTGACTTACTGTTTAAAGTATCATTTCCTTTCGATAAACATGTTGAAGAGATGAAAGAGAGAGTTTCGTTATTCTGTCTTGCCTAATAAATGAAATAACCACCAATTACTGTGATAATGCAAAACTTGACATGAATTTTCCTTTTGGCACAAAAGAGGATGTGGAGTTAATATCTGAACTCAATTAAATTCATCTTTATGTTTATGTCCCAAAACAGTTAACACAATTTTGGTTGGTTGGGTTAATCAGTACAGAATATGGCTACAACATAAACTGACTTTATGGTGTGCAAGCGTTTACAAGCGCTTCCATTGTTGTTTGACACTGAGAAATCTTTTAGAACAAACCTTCCCAGACTCCTGTTGAAATTCATTTCTGACATGTTCCATGTTCATAGTATTTTCGTTTTGATAAAGGAAGGCGGCAAAGCCCACCGGGCGATTCTTTCTGCCTCAGCATGCGAAAGCAAAAAAGTGTTGCACATCTGTCACTATTGTTTTGATGTTTACAAGAAAAGAATCCTATTCATTCTAAAACCGAGTGGTGCATCTGTTAGTCACACCCTTTATCATTTTCAATTCCCATCAACGGTATTAATCTCTTATTAATTATTATATAATTGCCAGGCTATCTATCACCTTCGGGCAATGCTGACAACCTGTTGAAACAAATGTTTCCCCTGCACATGCTCCCCTGCAAGGACTCTAGACGTTGATTGCTCAACTTCAACTTCTTTTTTCATCACTCTTAACTCTCCGTTTTCACATCAGTTGAGAGGATGTGTTAATACCTGATGACTAATACAATAGTGCAAAGGCCCGCGCCGTGTGATAATGTTGCCGTCGAGCCGCAGACAAACAGCTGCTGTTAAACACACTGGTGAGATTTGATCAGCTGCGTGTCCCGGCAGTTCTTGCAGAGGCCCACGGAGATGAGAGAGAGAGAGAGAGAGAGAGAGAGCAAGGCGTGTAGATCATTGAATCCAGCACCGTGGCAGATCAGATACCGTCAAGTTATAAATCAGCACGACGTTCACACTTTCTCCCGTTGAAGCTTCATGTGGGTTATTTTTGCAGAAGCTTTGGCATTGCAGTTTCAGTCGGGACAGTTCCAGATGCCGGTGCACTTTTTTGAAAGCGTCTTACATAAAGATGATAATAAATGTTTATCAAGCCATTTATAAACGGCTGTCAAAGATTACAGTATGTGAAATGCTGAATAAGTCCTATAACTTGTGATTGACCTCCTGCTATCAAGAATGAGCCAAAATGATGTTGGTCTTTGCTGTATTGCTGTTACGTTAGAAGCTGCAGTGGTTATTCACTTGTTTGGGAAAATATCACTTAAATATATAAATGTTTTACATGTAACTGAGCTGTGTTTAAACGTTGTTAAAATACTGTCAGCATAAAGCACATTTAATGATGACTAGATCAGTATTCTTTAGAGGAACCCCACAAATAAACCAAATAGAAATATTGGTGTGTTTCGTTTTAAGGAGCTTGTTCTTGAAGGAAAACCTTTAGATTGTTTCAACTGTATGTTCCATTTTCAAAAGTATTTTCGTGATGTAAAACAAACCTGAGATTTTTTTATACATATTGTTCCCAGTTTTAAGTAAATATAGCGTAAAATGCAAACGAGAGTGAAGCAATAAGCAATTTTATTGTTAAAATGTATTTATATGAACAATGTACGAAAAGACAGACATTAAAAATATTTAGAAAAAATTGAAGAGTTATCTATTTCAATGACACAAATTTTCAGGGATATTCATGTTCAATAATTTGTGTCTGCAAATTAACAAACATTAACATGTTTAATATGATCATTTACACCCTATCACATTATTTAAACAGCTTATTGGAACCGTGTGTCTTAAAAGTCGAGAAAAAGAAACATCGTCATGAAGCAGCCGTGTCACCGAAGGCATTTATGGATTCATGTGGTGGCCAGTCGGTATCAGACGTTCGTTGTAGGCTTTGACCTTTATCTCAGTGCAGAGTGAAAGCAAAAGTAATGCTACGAGATTTCCATCACCAACCACCTCGATCGCCTTCCAGAAAGACACCAGGAAACCTTTATAGAACCGTGCGTTGCTCAACAATACGATTTGGCAGATGAAAGACGGCCTGGGGCCGCTGCAGCGGGTCGATGTCCCTTTAGCTTCTGTAAGGCTGTTGGTGAAGAGCAAATAGGAATATGAAAAACTAGGACGTGCGTAGGAAACTGCAACGAGATCTTCAGCGACATTGTGTTAGAGATTAAATATGGACGGACATGGTTTGAATAGATGGACAGTTTTACAATGCAAGCACTTGAAAAGTCCCCCACCGTCTTGAGTTTGGCGTGAACGTGTCTGTCTCTCTTGTCGAGCCTCTTCATCAGATGTACCACCATCTTTCTTGTGGGGTCCGCGCACAGCAGACGCCCTCCTCTCAGGTGAAGCTAGAGGACATTTAAGAATCAGGATCAGCTTCACTGGCCCTTGTGTCTCTCTTAATAATTATGAGAAATGTATACATATGAATGTAAATAAATGAATGACCGACACTATAAAAAGATGCAATAGTAATAGCAGAACACAGACATGCAGTTTAGGCAGTAAGAGATTCAAATGGGTGATGTCATTATCTGTGCACATGTACTCACATTGTAGCAGGGATGTTGCAGCCTCCATCTACCACCTGCCTTCTGTAGTCCACTGCGAGTTTCTGAGTGCGCCGGATGTGTTTTTTCACGTACTTAAAACAGCAGTCCTCAAAGGTCGCTGAATGAGCAGAAAGCCCGTACAGTTACATCAGAGCTCCAGCGCAGTCCAGTGCCACCACAGTGAAACAGCGTGTGTCCAACATAGTACAACAATCTATTAAGAAGTAATACAATACTGAAGGTCCCGACCGGAGGAGTAGGACACGAAAAACAGCTTTTAAAGGGTCTTACTTTGTGCCAGTGAGAGACAGACACCGGATAGGACCAGCAGGAAGATCACGGTGTTGGACCTCATGGTGTAGGCTGTAGTTGCAGCACTGAGAGAAGCCAAAAGAATGCCAGGATTTAATGCTGACTTGCAATCGGCCTTATCATTCAGCGATTAAAGCACACGTGCTCCTCCCACGCCTATTCACACCTGAAACTTTGAACCTTTAACAAATATTTCATATCAGCTCTCTTTGTATATATATGCATGGCATGCGGATGAAAAAGGATCCATATCGCTTCGCTGAATCTGTGCCTTTGCCTTAAAATTTGAAAAAGAAAACACATTTACATTGATTCAATGCAAGGTGCGCTTACAATTAAAGTAAAGTCAGAAGAATCCCCCAAAATGTGAAATAATATAAACCTTATTGAATCTTAAAGTCTTACATTAACGACCGTAACAAATAGGATTGAGGGAGTTCCAAATGAAAACAGTGCAGTGTCTCCTTCCCAGCTACTCACCTTAACGCTCTCGATGTGCTTGCTCTCGTCTTGTGGCTGCGCAGGCAAGGCGAGGCGCTCTTATAAAGGACCGCCAGGTTTCATATTTCCACTCACGCCGCTCACCTTTGCACTTCGTCTCAGGTTTCTCTTTTCCTCTGAAGCTATATCGATATGCTTTTTTGTGTTTGAAACTTTTCCCACCAAAAAAAGTTTATGATGTGTTGCTCAATCCAAATACTCTTACTCTTACTCTTACCATGTGGGTCCCACCAAATGTAGAGTTTTTGTCAGAAGGGAGTGCTTGTGATACTTGAGACTTGAGTCAAACAAAAGCATTTACAACCGAAAAAAAGTGGAGCTTTCACAACTCCACAAAATCTCAGAAGAGATCGAGAAGTTGGATATTCTCAGCATCCACGTATTTGGAGGTGGAAGGTTGATTTTTTAGTCATACATTGAAATGAGGAAGTAGTAATTTGAGTCTGGATCGCTAAATTCTCGAAGGTTTAACTCCACACCGACTCGTAATGCAACACATTGTTACATGATAGAGATTATGACTCATATTTAAAGCTTATTAATCGATTGTTTATTAACTGTATGAAAGATAACAGTGGATAAAGAAAGTTCATGCTTTTCCACTTTTCATGCTGAGATCAATTGAGGTCACAGTCTCTGGTCAGCTTTTAAAACATACACACAGCATAATATTTGCAGAACATAATATGATGTACTATATAAAGGTGTGTTGCTGTTGTTCATTTACCTTCGGTTGAGAGGGGAAGTCCACAACGGATGGAACATAATAAGTCTTATCAAACCATAAAGTTTGAGAATGAATAAAGTTCACCTTACTAGATGATAGACATCCAATTTTTGACCTTTGGAGCTGACTTGAAAGGAAATGCATGTGAGCTACATCTACGCCTTCAAGTTATTATGATATCTATTCTCTGATTATTCAAAAAATATGCACAATTAAATGGAGTACAAACAGTACAACCATTCTAATAGTGTAAAAACCTGTAGGGTCTCTCAATTATGCTTGCCAGTGTTCTCAGAAAAGCTTGACGTTGATGTTTGAAACATCAGAGGTCCAGAATCAGATATGAAGTAACATTCTTTCATCATATTGCGATCTGACAGGTAAAAGGCTTTGCATTGAAAACACTTTTTCAGCGTCGCCATATCGCGTATCAACACAAAGCCTTTCCTGTTAACCCCCCGAAAACCGAGAGTGTTGTTGAGCGCTTTGTGACAGATATTAATGAGCCTTGAGTGCCTGAGAGGACATTGGATAGCTCCGTCCCCTGCACACGCTCACTCACATCCAAACACACTGCTGACGGCCAACGGGGCTTCTGATCAACTTTCCTTTTGCCCGGCCTGCAGGACACTGGTGCACACTCTCCTTGTTCCCTACATTCACCACACGTCCACTCCAGAACACAATACATTGTGCGTTATATCACACAGGACACTTTACAATTCTGGTCCAACCCCAACTCCAACGAGAGGTCGCGCACCGAACAAAAAGAAAGAGACCTGAAGGTTGCGATTGCGTATTTAAAATGAATGGCATTGTATATTCTTCAGATGATGGTCCACTGCCAGAGGCCGTTGGACTGTGATGAAACACTGTGTTGTCTTCATCATTTCCAGCAGACGTACTGAGATGTTGTTTTATCCCTTTAGCGTTAGTGTCATTCTGCAGGCACGCAAAAGAAAACATCTCCAGGAAGTCATTCATCATTGTGGGAGAAACTTTACTTTGGCACAGAGTACAAAATAAAAAAAATAGATTAAAACTGACAGTTGTCTCACATGCATTAGACTGAATAATGATACCGATTTAACATCTTCTTCTGCAACCGCCCATTTCGGAATTGCATGTGCCAGAAACTGAAAAAGTGAAAGCGAACAAAAAGGAGAAGGATCAAAAAGTATTTTTAGGGGGCGTGATGATGAGAAAAAGAAAAGAAAAGGTACTGCAAGGTCAGCCTTTTTTTCTGCTGCTGCTGCTGCTAGCACGGACATGAAAATAAAGATGTCTGTGTTCATGTCAAAAGAGACCTGATTAGGTGGTTAGTGGTTCACCCTCTTGTGGAACTGTAGTCTGCCAACCTGTCAAGAAGACCCAGTCATTACTTCTCACACACCAACAAGTATTTTCACTGCAATGAGATATTTTAATTGCATCTGTAATAGTTTTGGACATTTTTGGTTACGGCCACTTTGCAGTAAAAGGTCACCAATAAAAATATGGTGCCCCCCCCCCCCCCCCACCCTCCTTTCATTATACAGTTCATGTAATAATGCTGGTGTGGATGTGTTTACTTATCATGGAGGAATATGACCTATGGTCTCTTTCCCCTGTGATTATGCTTTTATTACACCTTTTCTAAATAATAACCGCGAGCTGCCCCCCCCCTTCACTATTGTTAGAGTTCTCCGCTCTAGCTTCTTATTTTATTCCAAGGTATCCGTCGCATTGCTGTATTTGGATCGACCCAGAATCTACGCTCTTCAGACGACGCTGGTCAGAAGAACCTCGCGTTTTACATTTCGACTCAACGATTGAAATGGTTTGGGCTTTTGGGAAATAATGCATCCTAATTCTCCTGCTTGTTGCTCAACTGGCGAAACTTCCCCAGGTTTTATCTTCGGGTGTTACAATCACCTGCGGGGAGAAAGAAGCCTGTAGAGTAACAGTGCGTCTGAGGAGGTCTCACCGCACTTCAAAGCAGCAAATATCTTCATGGACACATGACACTCACCAGAAGGACTAGATATCAGCTTATGCAGGATCTGACACTCGCCTACTATTTACAATGTTACACAGTCTGTTTGGAAATCGGCTTCACTGGATGGGAATGCACACAATTCTCTCAGGTACCACAAACATTTGGGGTGTATTTGGAGTTCAGTTTGAGTTAAGCTCCCTGGCCGGCAACCAATGAAAATGTTGACTGGCTTATCTGCAGTGGACGTTGGACCGCGGCTGTACGCTGATGAATAAGAAAATAAACTAAATTGTTATGGCTCGAAGCACACGGCAAGCTCCCCTGACAGATGAGGAGCTTTGCGGAAAAAGTGCATGAGAACATGTGCTGGCTTGTTTCGGTTCGGCCTGAAGGGAAATTGGAAGTATGATACTTGTTGAAAGGTATTGTGCAATGAAAAGTATTATGAAAGAAGCTCTATTAATTGTTCCATGATTACGCAACACATCCGTACAAATGTCTGTAGAAATGTAATTATTTCTAATGTTGATTGCAGCAAATACACTGTTGTGAAGTGCAGAGTGACGGAGAGAGAACTCATTTCCTTAGCAGAGAGCATCTGTGATTCATCAGTGTTTGAAGCATATTATCACTGCAGTCTGTCATTGGCAAGTTGAGAACACTAATTTGATATGATGCACTAGCTCCACTTTGAAAGCATGACATCTCGGGTTTGATGTTTCGCTCAGCCTGATGCTGGTTCCACTGCAGTGATCACACCGTTGTGTTAACCGTCTGTTTGTAGAGGAGGATTCCATCCAGCATTAAGTGCTGTTGCCATCTGGAGGCAAATTAAGTGAACTGTATTGGCTTGAAAATAAAAAAAATAAAAATGTCACACGCAGAACAACATCAACAAGTAGTCTGAGCACAAGCACCTGGAAAAACACCCACGGGAAAACACGTCATGACAAACATGTTATGCAATGACGTTAAGTAGACTGAGATGTGTCAACGTTCAAATGAAGTTATTAGAAACAATAAATCAATGCATGACGGGAAGAAACAGGATTTATTTATTCTTTATTTCATGACTAATCTGTGACTCCACCTCTTCCATATCTCACTAGGTGTACTTATCTACAGAAGATTCAACCTTTTGACATTTTAACTTCTCTTTTGTTAATCCATGGCAACTTCCCTTTAAAGCCAAATTTGTTTATACTATCTTGAAATCTTCCATCACATCATAATGAGGTTGATTTGGGGTTTTGTGCAAGAGGGTCACATGTGTGCAGCATGTTCAGTGAAGGCCTTTGTGCTCTTTCTTTTTTTTTGCCAACAACAATCATCGCGACAAAAACTCGCCTACTCTTTTTTTTAGTTGTTTTTTGTGTCTTTTTTTTAAATCTGCCTTATCATAACTACAACATAATGACATAGAGGTCTGATGAGTTCCTGTAACTGCAATCTGAACTATCCAAGCAGACTTTAACTTGTTTTCTACGGTCGGTTTATCCATGTTGTCCATTCAACACATAAACACACTGTCAATAATGGGCAGGCAGTATTTTGTTTGAGGTTTACTAGCGTGCACAGGAGAGGGCAGGGGGGGGGCGCGCATCTGCCGGGGAGGGGGGGTCCACTCTCAATGTGTTCTCTGCGAGTGCGAACGTTTCTGCTTCAACTCGTGTTATCTGCGCGGTGGGTTGTGGGTGTGTGAGCGTCGAAGTAAAATGGCGGACTTGGCAAACGAAGGTGAGTAAGTGGCAGTTGTGAGAAAAACAAATACAGCAACTGAGCCCTTATAAACGACGCCTGTACGTTGTTCGCATGGTTGGTAGCTGAAACGGCGCCCCTTGGCCCGGTGTTGATAGTGAGTTCTGGTGAGTTCTAAGCCTCGCGGCGTTTACAAGACTACCAAGTTAGCAAGTATGCTAACAATGCTAGCGGCTGGGCTACGGGTAATACCTGGAATGCCCCGGAACGCCCTCGACAGATGCTCGCAGCTAGCGCCGGCTTACCCCATAACGCTAGCACCCGGCTATTTATAGGCAGCATGTTTAGCTATTTGTGATGGGTTTCAACATCGATTGCGGAAATAAATCAAAGATTGAGCGGCTTAACCTAACGTTAATACGTGGATGATTCTTTTGATACTAACGCTTAGCGTTAATAGCACAGCCTTTCCGCATTCTAAAGAAGTTAGCACTGAATTGCGGGTCTGCTTTTCGTTTATTTGGGCGCGCAGAGAGAAACGCCGTAGCTAAGAAACTGATTTAGCGGCTTATTAAATGTTATCTATTCAGTCAGCTCAGATCTGCTGTTCATCTACGCTGGTCTGTTGATGACGGGGGAATTCGGCGAGCTTCTTGGTGACATTGCTTGTCAGACGAGATGACTCATGCGGGATGGAGCGTATTAGCAAGCTAATCACCATAGCCAGAAAGCTATGCTGCGTCCGGGGCTTTAGGGACCATCCGGTGTCACCGACTATTTGCTGGGACGGGTCGGATCGTGTAAATGCTAGCTGGTTAACTCAAGCCGGCGACCTCTCGTGCCGCCTGAATTTCTACCGTGAATATTAAGTGTTGCACGCCTGGATTCTTGCACACATCATCTATAACAATGTTAGCTGACTTGCAAGCCGCCGTAAGACACAAGCCGGACGTTCACATAGGTCACACGACAACGTCTTGTTGTCTGCGACTAAATGTGTGTCTCACTCGAGCAGCTAGCCGTGATCGGCTGTGTTGGTGAATGTTGCTCCAGCAGATAATCCGCGGCTACGGGGGCAATTAGCGCGTGCATTTATACCCCGAACCGACGAGGCTCACAACGATGCTACACCTGCTCAGTGTTTTAGGCCCAATCCAGACAGAGGCAAACCTTTTGTCTGTGGATGTTTATTTGATTAGACCTTTTACAGAGGTTATAGTGTCCAGGTAGATTCATTTAGAGGCCCGTGGTGACATCATATTATTGCATTGCTATTCGTGGTTAGTTGTGATGATGTTTTACAGCAGCAACAAAGTCACTGGTGGTGAGCTGAATGAAATCCCTTATTGGATTAGAAGAGTAGCAAGAGTTGCTGTTTGGCTCGTGGAATAGATTTACATTAGTGTTAAATGTTGGTGATATTGTTTGGTGCCAAATGATTGTTTAGGTCCACATAACATGTGATGTGTTCTTAGCGGTCAGCCTGTGTGAGTAACTGTAGGTATCGTATGGTTAAGAGTTGTTTCCCCATAACTAGCTGGACCAAACTGATATTGTACGTTCTTGACCGTTAAACAATTCTGTTTTTCCTCCCTTTTCACTCTTTTCTGTACTTGCTAGATCTGACGTTTTAAATATACAGTGGAACGGTGTGTTTTACCAGAAGGGAACCACAACGTTTACCTTCCATACAGTCTCAATTATAGGATGTCTAGCTGCACCTCCCCACATTTTATATGGCTTTTGGTGCCGTGTGTTATTTTGCTGTTTATCACTGCACATCAGATATTGCTGTTTTGATTTAGTGCTAGATTATTATGCAGATGAGTACTACGGCCCACATCCGATCATGCAGGCTACAGCGTTAGCTACTGTTCTCTGTACCAGGCGCACATGGTTGTTTACGTCCGATGACTAGCCTTCATCTTCTCTTGACAGACAAGCCTGCCATTGCGCCACCTGTGTTTGTTTTCCAAAAAGATAAAGCACAGAAGGTAAGTGTTTTTTTTTCTTTTTCTTTTGATGCCATATTGAATACTTTTGTGGACTTGATTTTATACGGACATTCAGTGGACAGCAATCTTGAAACGCTCAAAGCAGGAGAGTTGTTGAGTTCAAATCTTCTCTTGCAGCGATCTGCGGAGGGCTCAAGTGCAGAGGATGGGGAAGGTAAAGCCACTCTTTTAATGTCTTTGCTATTATATCTAATTTTTAATCACACAGCAATAATATTCATATTTTGTTGGTGCTTTTAGATTCAGATAAAGATGAGGGAGGCTATTGCCCCCCTGTGAAAAGGGAAAGGACGTCATCGTTCCCACCCCCACATTCTGGTAAGGGCACGTGGTGACTAAGCACAGAATTTGTTTGTTGCTTGTGGTGTACACATTGATTTGTATGCTGAGTGCAATGCTTGTTTGCTACTTTGCAGTTCCCAAGAACAATGTATTCATGCCCTCAAGTTTCTGCCAGTCTCCGACTGGGAACTCTGACTCTGAGCCAGGTGAGGCATCCAGACCACTTTCTCTTCACAGCTTCAAGCCCCCCTGCAGTAAAATGTTTCATAGGTTAAACCTGATTTTCCAAAAAAAATGTAGGCAACAAACACAATTGTTTGCTAAACGATAACTTGCTATCTAAAACATGCCAGAAATACTCTTTGACCATGTCTTTATGTATTGTTAACATTGTGACAGAAATAGTTGGAAATTAGATGTCAATTAAATTGCGTCTCCCATTCCTGCAAATGCACTCCATTCACTGTGAGCAGCTGTAGTCACATTGAATGTGGCACTTTTAGAGTTATCCCTTCAGGTAAATGCCGTGGAGGACTGATGTTGTTCATGGATTGACTGTTGCAGAAGGCAAAGCACATCTTCCATAGACGGATACATTTGACATGCATAAGTGGATTTTCTCAGATCTATTCTAAATCATAAGTGTATGTGGAACTACAAATCTTTATTGTCTTTTACATATTGTATGTCTAAAATATTTCCGCGTGCCTCATGAGTTCAGTCCAGTGTGACGTTTCTGTTTGTTCATCCCGTTATTTTTAGCTTGTTGTTTAGGTTTTTGCAAGAATGCAAGAATTTGGTCCTCCGTTTTGTTTATGGCTGCATTAATGGTTCGTTTCAGTGTGTTCGTGTGAGATGGAGGGATAGCCCCCCCATCCTCTCTCTCCATACGACAATTCACTCAGTCAGTGAAATCAACACATCTTAGTCAGATTTAAAACTTCCACTACGTTTTTTTTTTTTTTTTCTTCTTCTTCTTTTTTTTTCTTCTTTGGTGACAATTTGTCTGAGTAAAAAAACCTGCTGCTGTTGCGTCTTTACACGAGGCACATCCTGTTGTGGCCAACGGCTTGAGCCCGGTGAGCCTGTGCACTAAAACGGCCGCAAGAGGAGAGAGTCATCGACAACACAACTGGACGATTGTTCTCAAAAGTTGTTATTATTTAATCATATTGTACTTTATTTTGCTTTTAATGTACGGGGACCAAAAGGAGCACTGAACTTGTCAGTGGAATGGTTTACAGGTGTGTTTGGTGCCAGTCGGCTAGTCTGTCTTATTCTGTATTTACTTTAGTTGTATAATGCTGTTCTCAGATTGGTTATTTTGTATTTGAGAGGAAGGCTTTCCTGTTTAAAAAAAAAAAAAAAACACATAATATTGAGCTTTAGTCTCAATTGGCAGTGCATGCAGGCGGCTTTAGTTAAATATCCAGGCACAGGATGGTTTCAGGTCTCAGTTGCATGCTTGTGCCGACCATTTTCTGCGGCTGTTGTTGGAGTTCACCATGTGCATTTCTTTGGAGGAAGTAACTCAAAAGTAAAATTACACCGTTGGACATTATCAGGATCTGCTTTATTAGCCAGGCTTGAGTAATAAATAAAATACCTGTCTTTGTTGGACTGTTCATCGACCTCAGCGCTAATGTCTAAGACTATTTCTGTTGTTATGACCGCAGGGGGACTTGTAATGTATGTGTGTCTTGTAAATTATTTAAAAGTGGTAGATTTCTGTTAATTGCATGTCATACAAATGTGGCTTTGGTTGTTTTAGATTCACCAGGTGTTTAACATTTGGCGCAGACAGTGTCACAAGATAACAGCTTTGCAGAGGGGACGAATCATAAGACATAAGAGCCTCGGTTCTATTTAAAAAAATAAATATACATTTTCTACAGATACATTCAACTTTTTGCTTTTCGCTGAGTCGTGTCAAACCAATAAAGCCATTAAGATGGAGAAATATACGATCCTAGAGCCCGTCATGTCACGGGCCTGTTAATGTTTTGGTAACAGGCCTTGAGGTTAGACAGTTGTGTAAACAGACAGAATGTGCAGTTAATGAGTTGTTCTAAACTATCTGCCTCCTCTTGTGCCCCGTTTCATCAGAGGAGAAGCCCATGGGATTCCGTTTAAAGCCACCAACTCTCATACATGGACAGGCACCAAGTTCAGGTTGGTGTTTGGGGGTTCGGGCCTTTTTCCTGTAACATTTTCCCACACTGACTTGATGGGAATTGAAAAACAACTTGAACCCAGGCTTGCACCCTTTTTATTCTATCACCCCTCTTAGAAATGGAAATGGTAGATCTAGACTTAAACATGTAGACCCAGAACTTCTCATTGTGTTCAAAAAGTATGAGACAAGTTGGCTCTGTTGCAGGCGTCCCAAGTCAGAAACCCAAGGAGCAGCAACGCAGTGTCCTCCGCCCTGCAGTTCTTCAGGCACCGCCCTCTAAATCACATATAGAGTCCAGTGAGTGCAGCTTGGAGTCACCTGCACTCATTAGTTAATACTATAAAACCATTAAAATCGTCTTTGTCTGATTATTCATTCAACTTTGATCATTGATAACTTGCATAGTGCAAGTGCGCATTGTGTGTTTTTTAGTTGTTTTTTACAGGCTAAATTATCTTTTTTGAGAAAGGAAAATTAAAAAAGTGAAATATCTTGTTCTTTTATGTCTTTTCATTTAGATTCCATTTGTGGAACTAATGGTGTGAAAAAGTCGTCAGATGGAGAAGCTGTGACACCGTCACTCTTCTTGAACAACACAGAGCACTCAGCCTCCGCCAGGTCACAGGTGAGGTGTTTAAAGGAGTGAGGGAAAGCATTCCACTGTACGCTATTATTTCCATGCTTCTATTTAATAGAATGGAAGTGTATTCATTCTGATATAAGATATGTATGTATGTGTGTGTGTGTGTGTGTGTGTGTGTGTATATATATATATTATATATATATATATATATATATATATATAAATTAATAAAAAGATTCATTGAATTGCAAGTGGTTTTATTCACCTCCGCACAATGTTGCACTATTTCCGAAATACAGAATAATATGAAGCTAACACTGTTGCTTTTAACGGTTTTTGTTTCAGAAACATGAAAATGAGGAGGATGGAGCAAGTGGTAACAAAGACGAGAAGGAGACGGATGTAGCAATATCTTTTGTGTTCGGTCAGAATATCAAAGACAGAGCAAAGGTGAGTTACTTTCCACTTTTCCTTCATATTTTTCTGTAACTAATTGCTACTCGTACTTCAGCTCAAAAAGCAGGAAAGGGCAATGTGTCAAGTCTTCGTCGCAGATGATGATACTACACATGTATTCATTATTTTCCATTTCTGCCAATGAATGCGGAGTCCTTCAGACTGATCCTCTGAGCATTTCTTTGGTCCGTCACATGTGAATGCTAAGAGTTCTCACAATGTCTTGTGGTTCCCGTTCCTGGTAACTGCTTCATTTCCTGTGGTGCTTCAAACAATATCCAGTATAATTCTTTTTTTCTATTAAATTTGTTTTTCATTTTGTGCTCCATTGGGAACAGTTGTGGCTGCAATGTTTTGACAAGATTTTTGAAATGTTCATTTGTTCCCTCGGATGTCAATTAGTCAGGAGTTTCCTTGATCTGGATTTGTGAACATTTTTGCGTCCTTTTCTGTGAGCATAACTCCAAATGTACCACTTGCTTTCTATAGTTGGAAGAGAACAGTAAAGAAGGCAAGTCAAAGGATGGCCTGCCACTGGACTCTCAATCAGAGGGCACTAATTATTTCTTACAGTACATCTCTACTCCAAGGTAATGCGAATCAGTCTCCTTGGAGTACTTTTAGCACCTCCTCCTAATCTATATTTAACTTCCATCAACACATTTTTTTTTCACCCCTTCTTTCCTGTTCTTTCAGTTCAAAAAACCCCGCCAACAGTACAGACGATGGGGCAAAATTTGTTTTTGGGCAGAACATGTCTGAGCGAGTTCTGGTGAGTTGGCGCAACCTGTTGTAGTGTGACGCGGTCGCATGGAAGAACCTGGTGGGACGGAGCTTTGAACGAGTTCCACAGATGAGCTGTGTTGTGCTTTCAGAGTCCCCCAAAGGGCGAGTCCTTAGTCGAGGAAAACAAAGAAGTTTCAGCAGCCCCCGCTGCAGAGCCCCCGTCACAGGAAGCCACCCCGGAGAAGGGTAATCATAATGTTTAAAGTTGAACCCGTCTACTAATGGATGTTAAAAACAAGACCTGAGGTGATTGAATAGCAGTCCCACAGAAATGTGACATTACGATTATAATACTTATTATATATTATATTATATTTATAATACTAGCAATATACAAAGAAATATCTGTTCATAATATTAACTTGTTTCCACATCAAGTTTAGTGCTTCTTCAATTAGATAACGAGCTGACAAGGTGTAATAAATACGTCACCTGTGATTCGAGGTCCATTATTTTTCTATCACACCGTTTCCTGAAAGGTTGAAACTATTTTAATCGCACTCCCCGGCACGTATTGCATTCAGATCCCTAAAAGAAATGACATGAAACTGTACATAGATGTTCTATCACAGTGACTGTTCTTTATTTAACGATGAAGACATGTCATAGCTGACAGGAAAATACTCTTCACAAATGACCTGAAGTGACCTGTCAGCACTTGATTGTCCAAAGAATGCGCAGAATGTTCTCCGTCACGGCGAGACAATATGGGCGTGAGAGGAGGCTTTAAAACTAACTAATCCCACTCTGCGAAGAATCTCCGACGCCGAATGCTGCCTGCGGTTAACAATGCACTTGTTTCATCTGACCAGTCAACAGCGTGTCCGAGTCTTTGGAGGAGTCTGCAGCCGCGTACACCAAAGCCACAGCCAAGAAGTGCATCCTAGAGAAAGTCGACGTCAAAACCGGAGAGGAATCAGAAAGCAACGTTTTACAGGTTAGAGAATGATTCGGCGCATGCAGTGAATAAATGAGGCAGAAAGCAATGCGATTCTTGTTTTTTTCTTTTGGTGCTTTTACTTCAGATGCAGTGCAAGTTATATGTTTTTGAGAAGACCGCTCAGTCGTGGATAGAACGAGGTCGAGGTTTGCTGAGGCTCAACGACATGGCATCAACAGAGGACGGCACGCTACAGTCTCGTCTAGGTAAACGTGCCTTCAGAGAGAATGAAAGACCAATATCTAACCGAGAGGAAAGTGCAACGCTCCAGCTTTTCCGATTGCCATAATGTGGATGTTTTTTTGTGAGTTGATTGATTTGTGCCTGATGCATATGGAATAACTGAGATTACACATTCAGTAAAATACAAATGGTTCTTGGTTGCTGTTTTCATCTTGATAAATGTTGCAATACCTGACATTGAACACAAGAGGGGGTAGTCCTGTCATACACACTGCTATGGATAACGCCTTATGCTGCACTGCATGTGTGTCGGTGGAATAAGGAGTAAGATGGGCTTCGTCATCAAAGAAAGGAATCTTTAATGAATACAAAACAACTCTTTATGCTCATAGCTATTTTATTTCAGAAATTTAGAATTTTCTTCAAAAGAAAAGCAACACTATTTCCGACTACAGCTAAATTGGTTTCTTTCCTTATCCTGTATTTATGCCGGTGAACGTTCACTTAGCACAATACAATATTGGCAAACACGTTGAGTTCATTTGGAAGGTGCACTTTTAACTCTTCACATTGAGAAGTGGAATACCATAAATGAACAAACACAGCTGCTTGGTTCTGAACTTCATTGCTTTGGTATGCGTTTCTTTTTAAAACTCTTCCAGTGATGCGGACCCAGGGCAGCCTACGGTTGATCCTCAACACTAAACTTTGGCCTCAGATGCAGGTGGACAAAGCTAGCGAGAAGAGTGTACGAATCACTGCCATGGACACAGAGGACCAGGGGGTCAAGGTCTTCCTAATATCGGTACGTACCAACAAACATACTATATATAGTCATGATTGCCTTTCCTCTCCATTTAGCTTTCACACTATAGTTGATGCTCCTCACCGAGGAAGCTTGCATCATCATCTTCCCATGTGCCACATTTGTCATCAACACTGTCCAGATGTGCCTGGATTAGAGTTTTTTTTTTTTTGCCTATATGTGCTCGATGTGAGAAAGTCCCAATCGAGATGCCTGCTTTTTTCTGGTCTTTGTGCTGAGTAGCCTCTCCCACTGTGTCTCCGTTCTTTAGGCTAGCTCTAAGGACATAGGTCAGCTGGCTGCAGCGTTACATCACCGTATCTTAGCCCTGAAGAGCAAGGCGGACCAGGAGCCCGAGGCGCCGACAACGACCATCCCCGAGGCCGGGTTACCACAGTCCAACGAGGACGACAGCGACGAGGAAGACGACGCCTCCGCCTCAGCTTCCGCCTCCACTCCGGCTACGAGTGAGTGACTTTCTGTTGTTGGGCGATCGTGTCGCCTCGCGTGGTTTACTCGCCCTTAGCTTACTGCGGGTTAGATAGCTGCTTTTTGCCCGTTGGTATCGGAGCAGCAGCGGTTTGTTCGCGATTCGGACCACACTCTCACTAAGCCGTCGCCAACCTGCTCTCGCTTTGCTTTCTGCAGGTAATTCAGAGGGAGGAGAGGGCCAGGCTGCAGGAAGCACATAGCGTCACTCTCGGACAGCCTGCTAACATGCTGCCGTTGAGGCATTTTGCTGTGGGCATCTCCATGGACACCCCTTGACCAACATGGGTCCTCCAGACCAGTACTTTTGGATATTAGAAGTCTAGCTCCAGGAAATAACCCCTCGTGCCGGAGTGTCTCACCCAACCTGTGCAGTTCATCTTCTCTGCATTCAACGTAATATCTGGAGTCCTTTCTTCCCTCCCGCTCCTGTTTTGTGTTTTATTTTTGTTCTCGAGTATTTTTTTTTTCCTCTCCCCGATAGCAAAAATAAAGACTTCAAAGCTTTGGTTTGGGACTTTTCTGCTCATCATATTGATGAGTGTAAGGGTGTTTTTCCTCTACATTTTAAGGTATGGCACATGTTAAGACTGCAGTTTCTACTTTGGGACCTTTTTACTCACTCAACAGCCGTGCCCCTGGACGCCACACATCCAGAGGAGCTTCATTCAGTAGTATTTGACTAGTCATCATTCAGGTGTTCCAACGTCCTCCCGCCCCCCCATCACATCCAGTTTGTGCGTTTAGGTTTTGGCAAATGTAATTTATTTTGGATTGTCATTTTCCTCCAACATCTCAACACACATGTGCTGCTTGTAATGGCAAGACCACTCAAGTTGTTGTTGTTAATGGCAGTTTCTTATATTTCCTATTGACCTATATTATACGTAATAAAAGACTGAAACAATGCGGTTTCTGCTAATGTGAGTTAATGATGTGAGGACTCAACAGCTCCATTTTTCTTTCTCAACATTAATGTGTTAGTCATTCGCCATGTGACCATGTGGGTTTTATTTTTTTATGATTGTTTTGCAATGTAAAGAAAATGAACTCATCAGTCTACATTCTGCATGTAACTGTTATTTCTTCTTTCTTTTAAGGCATCCCAAGGTATACTTTGATCCTTTTATTTTTAAGATATACAAACTTTTTGTCCACTGTCATTGGGAATGAAGAAGTCAATGTGAGGAAAACCTGAGTGATCACTCAAATACCCTTTGAATGTCATGTACATTTTAATATATCATTTGTTAGCGCACCGTGTTTTCTCATCTCCCAACTACCCCCCTTTACAAAATAAACCATTTTGGACTGACATTTGGGATTTTTTCTTCCGAAACCTGATATTTGTTTGTGTAAAAGATCCTTATTTCAGAGCACATCACGCGAGTATACATGACGTGTATTTAAGTAAAAACAGCCAAAGAAAGTAGACTTTTCTTTGACATGCTATATTGTAATTATTTGACCTATAGATACTATACTATACTCAACAGGCTGCCTTGTGCCTTTTTATTCAAGCTTTACAGGTGTTTTCCTTATTATTTGATGACTTTTATCAACATGACGTATAACTTCTGACTCGTGGTACGCTGAGACTTTTTGACATCAAATAAAATGACTTTTCTGATATTATAAAAAATACATTAACTTGTTAAAAAACTTTACTATGAATTTCCTAATTTTCTTTTGAAAGTGTCTTTATTTTCAATATACTGATCTACAACTTCTTTTCACCACAATTTAATACTTTTTTATATCCCATACAGTGATTTTAACTTTTCTTGATAAGACCCTCTTAGACACGCTGTACTGACGTCTCTTTCCACACGCTTTCACTCTATTTCACTTTAGAAATACTATCCATCACTTTTTTGGGTTTTTATATATTCTACATACATTTGACTTTTTTTCCCCCAGGTGGCCAGGCAACGAGATCACAGCACCACTAGAATGCAGCGGTACCTGCAATTCTTTGGGTCTCTAAATATAGGATGAAACCTGGAGCCTTTAGCTATTAAGTTGACCAAGTTCCAAAAGTCTTACGCCCCGTGGGCGTAAGACTTTTCCCTTGAATAGCCCTTCTAGGTAGGGCTGGCTCAGGCTTTGCCTCTGCTCCTTCTCTTCTCCCAGGTTTCCATGGATACTGGTTTTACCTGGAATGGGGTTGTACCTGCTGTCACCAAGCCACCATTACAGGACCTGCTGCTGTTAATATATTATTGTTTCTATAATAATGTATCATTTCTCTCATATGGATGGACCATGTTGTTCATTTTGTGTTTTTTATCTTTTCTGCCTGGCTCTTTTTTCCCCATTAAAGGAGTTTACTTATCTGATGGGAGTGATGAAGAAAAAGAGGATGTCGTAGGTTGTGACTTGTGATATTGATCTACACAAATAAAGAGTTTGGTTGGTCAATGAGATTCTTTATGACATTTCTATGATAAGTATGTCATAAGTACTCAATGACTTTATAAAGTAACACTTTTTATGTGTCAATTGTCCTTTTCGTTGATGTTTATGTAGTTTCAATGACGTACCATACTATGATGTTATATTAGTTTTTGTAATACGTTCTATAATAGGACTTTATAATTTCAAGTGTATATACTTATATTGTAAATCTTTTTCCATTATTATTTTATGAATTGATGGAATACTATATTATGAATATGTTGACTGACTATAATATGACTGCCGATGTATCGTTCATGACTTTTTAATGTACTGTACTTTTTCAATAAAATACATTAGGATTATTTAGGACTTCTTGTTTCTACATACTACACTTTCAATATACTATGCCATGACTAGTCTTTTGTATATGGTATTTTCGAATATACCATAGAGTGATCTATTAGTTTTTTATTGCATACCAGATTGTGTTGTTTTCTAGCTTACTATCTTACATTTTTCCTGAATTATTTTAATATATTACACATAATTTATTCTTTTGACAAATTATATGACTTTTTCAACATACTGTATTATGAATTTTTCGAAATAGTATTCAATAGCCTTTTTCAAAATCTTTACTAATTTCTTCAGACTTGTACTGAGTTTTTAATATACCATCCAGTGACTGATTTCCTCCCTAAATACTATTCTGTGTTGCCTTTTAACATTTATAATTATTATTAAGACACTTTTTGCCATGATATAATATGACTTGTTTCAAACTTTTTAATACTTTCCCTAAAGACGATGTATGTATTATAAATGCCTTTTTTATAATAAGTGTAATGATGTATAATAACATCAGACATTCTCCTTTGCACTTCTATATTTTCTAACTTGCATTACTGTGTACGGCCAAGTAATGTCTTAAATCTACGCTTTCGAACGAAAGAGCATTAAAATTCAAGGGCCACAACACGGTTCGATGGTCTCACTTTAAGAAACTACGATGTGGAGGTATTAAAAGTTCATCACAATGTGTTGAAAGCATTTCTTCAGTTGACATTTACAGAGCAACAATGGTTAACCTCATGGCTTTATAGCACTGCTGGTGAGCAAACACCCAGCAGAGCATCTTTATTGTTAACCAGGGAATATTAAATCCGCTCTTCCTTGCAGTTCCATAAATTAATTCATCAGTATCTGCACACACACACACACACACATTCATTTACATTCGTTTTGTATCCAACAAACTTGAACTTCCGACCAGGTGGGAGCCGTTGTAAAGTGATATGGCTCAGTTACAGCAGCTCCTGAATCTCAGTCGACTTGGACAACGGTCAAGCCTATACATGCCGTGATGTCAGAATAAGAAGCTGCTAATATGCATTGTTAAAAACGTCAAAGCCCAGGAAGTGACCTCTTGTCGTTACCCAAGCAGCTCCTTTTAAGAATGTGTAACAGAGAACAAATAACACCTGTTAACACAAAGCACATTCCTCTCCTCAATCGCCGCTTGTGTTAACTCTGAACTCCGACCAAAATTCAAATGGTCGCCTCAGATGCCACAATTTTAAGTGATCACCAGTGAGCCGAAGCGTGTTTGCAAAAGGCAGATCTGTGGATGAGTCATGCAGCTTTAGTCCAGTTGGGAAGTTTTGTCAAGACAATCTTGTTTAAGTGGATTAAGTTCAAAGGAGAAGTTGATAAAAGACAGCGACGAATTAATATCTGGCGAATGATCTGATGGAACACGGGGTGGAATGTTTTTATATCAGTGAACAGAGTTAAATATGAATCAACGCGTTCTATATTCATCCCTCACAGTGGCTTGGATAAACATCAGGTGTCACATAAAGAAAATCATCAAAACCACAGTAACATCTTTGTCATCTTATCGTTATTTTAAACCACGTATCTCCTTAAAAGGAGTCGAGACATTTATAAGGGAACTGGGGAAATAAGAATCACAGCAGCAGGACTTTTTACAAGAAGCAACCTCTTCCACAGAGGAGATGTTGTACAAATAAAGTAAAGATTACTAACCGGAATGAGTTAGCACGATGTGGGTTTTAGTAAAGCCTGGTTTTATAAATAAATGACTCAACAACCAGAAATGGTACCACACCACCAGCGGAGTCCCGGGACACTGAACATACATGGATTCTAGGAGCAAATAATCCGCCACGTTTTAAACTGAAAACAAAAATGCACAGAAAGTAATTACATTTTTATTGAAAATAAAACCAAAGAATGACTCTCACACACAAAGACAAGTAAGACACATTTCTTTTCCATTCATTCAATGGACATTTATTTTAAATGGACAGTATTTCAGAGATCTCCGTAGTTATCCATCACATTTCAATGTGGCCAACAGTAACCCAGATCAGGTCGAAATGTCTTGTTATTGTTGTTCTTGTGTTCTTCCACAAGGGGAAGACATCATGTGAAAAATATCTCCAAATACTGAATAATCACGCTTTCAAACGGCAGGATTAATATTTACATTTCAGATTACTTGAAAGGTATAAAGGAGGTTTTACTGCTCCGAATGCGTTGAATACGTTGAACAGGAATACGGAACCATGCTGATACAGGCGGGAAGGAGCGCTGGTTCAGATGGGGCCTGCCGATATTATTTATTATGACATTACAAACCAGTAGAATCATTTACTGACAGATCACAACCCTTAGTTTCCTAATCAGTCGTCGTATCGACACATGCTGTCTTCCATTAGACACAACAAACGAGAAAGGAGGGGACGTAAACTCAGCACCATCACTCCTACAACTCTCCTCCGACTCACACATCACACGGAAAATCATCAATCAATCGCCAATTTGTGTTATTAAGGATAAAACATAAACATTTGTATAGTTTCATGTTGGAGCGAGTTAATTATCGGCGGGATCCTCGCTCCATTTGGCTTTCCAGTTCTGCACCTCGCCTCACTTCTTCCTCCCCACCCTTTAATCCCCCCCATTCCATCAAATCCTGCCACTCCCAATCATTACCCCACCCCAAAACCCCTGTAAAACACTCATGGATACTACAAACACTCACACACCCACCGACACGGAGAGAAAAAAAAAAACATCCTGGCAAACACGTTTTTATATCTGACTCAAATCTAAAGCATTTCACGGTTACTCAGAATCGCAGCCTTCTGCGTGTGTAGTGTTTGAACTGCGGAGCCCTGAAGTAAAGAAAGGCAAAGAGAAGGGAGGAGGTCAAAAGTTTCAAGGTGTGGAGCATAAAATGATTCACGTGGAAACCGAGGACTGATGAACGAGAAACCTTAAACAACAGCACCGTGTCCTGAGGCCAAGATAACTGTACTTTACCACAGAGGCCAGACATCTGCGTAGCAGCAATAACATCGCTGACATTAATGCTGTTACACAGTGTACCCATCCGCTAAATGCCCAAACAGAACCCAGCCAATCAGAAGGCTCGATCACTGGAGCAGCAGCCGGTCTTAACACAGTTAGCGTGCCGGTGGTCATTCATCATTCATCATTGGTCATTGGAGTTATTTTTCTGACACACAAACTGTATTCATGCCATGTCACGTTTTTCAAGCTGGAGTGAATTATTAATCGATTTAGGCTTCCACATATTCATGCATGCAAAATATACATGAGCGATGAATGACCACGAGGAGTCCAGAGCAGTGCGGCTCTCTTGGTAGACGCTGCATCCATGACCTCACCTTTCGTCCGTCAAAGGAATCTTGCATGAATCTTAAAATGCAATTAAAAATGTGACGCCCAAAGAAAACAATTTCCATACTTAACCCCCACCCCCCCCAGCGCAAATGTATCTTGTTAATTACTCTGTAGAGAGTTCCGAGCTGCTCAGGAAGAGGAGAAACACCTGCTCGCAGCAGTTGTTCAGGCTGTCTGGGTCCTCCAGAGTCACCGCTGCATCCTGCGTCCTGCTATCGTCCTCTCAAGAAGACTGAACCCACCAACGTGCTGCAGCTGGACATGGGAGGAGGTTGTAATACTTTGGCATGTTTATTGTGGATCTTTTCATGGCTTCTATCAACAACAGATGTGTTGTACACACCAACACTATTATTCTGCAACACGCTACAATGTTGTAATCAATATTGAGGGTTTTTCTTTAAATCTGCAAGCATGTGTAATGTTTAATTTAAGGGGAATGGATGAAGAGAGGGTAGAAGGTGAGTTACTTTATTTTGGCTTAACAGCTCCTCTGTTCAGTTTCATAAGAGATGCACTTCTTTTAATTTGGAGTTGATTAACTGCTGCTGGCTCAAGGCCGGACCTGTCATTATTGTCCCATGAAAAAAATGTCAAGTAAAAAAAAGAACACGCTCTAATGAATTTTTCTATGAAAATGTCAAACTACATTCCATGCGTTGTACAAATTCCTCTCCACGAAGCATGTTTTGTGGTCAAAATGGATGCCATGTGTTACTGTGCAGTTAGATTTTCTAAGTAAATGTTGCTTTCATTAAATGTTCTTCCTTCCCTTAAGTTCTTTGCTGTGGTTGTGTGGACATTTTGGTTTTACGGCATTTACTGCGGTGGCAAGTAGCGGAAATATCTGTTTGTATTAGAGGTAAAGTGGTTGCACTTTAATTGCTCTTGTAAACATTTTAAGCATTTTTTGGTTGCTCAGAGTAAAGAAAATACCGATAAACGACTATGTAAATACAATGTGTTGGGAAATGCTCTCCAAACCTCTCTCTGTGCTCTTGTAACGGGAAACTTCTTTGATAAATTGGATTTCATTCAATCCAAATGTTTGGGGGTCTGAGTCTTTGATGTGCGGGTCGTGTACCTCAGTTATTCCTCTGGTCTGTTTTAGAATAGAAATTGCTTAAAATACAATCTGTGGAAGTAACTTCTCTGCACAGCTGTAGTAAATACAGCCAGTCACGGTCAAACTAAAACATCTGCTCCACTTGGGGATTCATAAACCCAGAGGAGAAAACACATTTTTTTTCACTCACAAACAGTCCCCCCGGATCATCCGTCAGCCACATATCTGTGTGTAGGATCGACTCCTAAGCGGGAGAACTCAAGCTGACTCCCGCGTTGCCTCAAATGCCTGCAGCCGCGGGAGAAACTCGGTGGCTTCTTTGTAACCACGCAGGAAGTTGCACCAGTTGCGTCGTCTGGCTTTTTCTGGGATTTAAGTTAACAAGCACTTAGTCTTCATGCAAACATGAGCCAGGAGGAGCTTTACTTTTCCTGCTAAACATAAGTGCTACTCAGGAGATGAACTATGCAATAACACATTCAATTTAAGGTATCACTTAACTTACATCCAAAGTTCTATCTAGTTTTCCAGTTTTTTTTTTATTTTGGGCCTGAGAGAAAAAACGCCACCAAACATACTGAGTCTACTTCATATTGAATGACAACATCACGTGAAAGCTCGCCAACCACCCGAAAAAAACTCCTGACTTCAATTTGGGAGTTCAGGCGCAAAATTCCTGCTCAGATGCTCAAACAATGTTGCATGATACAAAATATGTATTTAGAGTGTATCAAAAGAGTTACGTTGAGCCGTGTCTTGTCGTTATTAGCATTTCTGATTAAACCACATCTCATAAACACGCCTTCTCTCCCCCAAAGGTCAAAGGTCAAATGTAATACTTACTAGATAAACGATGCCGTTGTTCTGCTCTGGTTTCCCAACAAGACGCGTCAGTGAGAATATCTGGGCAACGTATCAGATACAAGAGAGGACTGCAGCTGCAATTAATGATATCACCTACAAGTGCTTTACCTGCTGTGAGATGCCAAGCAAGTTCATCCTGGAAAAGAGTCAAATGTTTTTCCCTTCTGTCAGACGTAAGATGGGTTGTGGCTGTTTGCTCCTGCTGGGCTGATTTGTCCGTTATTGGAGAAATCACAATTTTTTTAAAAGTATCTGTGTGACGTTTCAATGTCAACACTGAACTACTACTGCTACTACTACTACTACTACTACTACTAGTACCTACGTTACGCAGGTGGGACACAAATTAAGGACCCCTCCTTCCTCTGCCATAACCTAAAAAAAAAACATCCAAAGAAAAAAAAAAAAGAGAACGGTCACAAAAGCAGGTCACTACTGCAGGCAGCAGCCACCATACGGTCTGAGCAGAGGGGGAAAGACATTGGTAGGAAGAATGGAAGAGATGTTAATTCCAAGGTAGACAAGATAAGACAGTACACGAGAAAATGCAGTTGGATTATCGGGTAGTGTGTTTCTACCAGGAAGCAGATCCTTCGATAACACTCACGGCAGACTTTTTAAGTGTAATTTCAAATGCTGCAACAGTTAAAACCAAATGGGATTCACCTCCATTTCATTGGGATGGAGGAGGAAATCTGAAAATGAGAAAAATCTAAACCAAAACCTTGTGCATGCCTGTGCATGCCGTTTATTTTCAGCTACGGATTAGCACACATTTGTAATAAGTGCTGTCACATCCTTGCTGGTTGTTCCTGCTTACTGGAGAGATCAAACTGTCTGTGTAAGCTCACGTAATCACTGATGTTCAGTAAATGTGCTGCTTTGTGATCATTTCAGAAGCTCCTTTAGATGTTAGCAGGACGTGGTGTTGTTTTATCAGCCACATCGTATATTTGTAATTTGATCTTTAACTTTCCTCTCAAGGTTTGTTTAATTAACAGCATCTTGCATTTTAAGAGTTTTATTTTTTAATTGATGTATTACATTGTTGGAAATAAGATATTAGCACAGAATATTCAACGCCCAAAGATTGATCGTCGAGGAGAAATCCATACCTCTGAAATTATGTTTATTCAGCAGTCAATATACAATATTGGATAAACAATTTTTTGGCACAGTTGCTTAATGATAATAAGCTGTCCCGTTTCTGTGTGGTAAGCTAAATAAATATGCAAGACCATAATTTACTTTCCAAATAAATACAATATAAACTACAATAAAGATGCACCGCATCCACCCCCAACACTGCAACTCCTCTAGAAAAACTAAATAAAAACATAATTTATTGTACTTCAGTTTCAATGGGTCAAACCAAATAAAGATTGGTGAAAGGTGAAAAAGATGCTTCACAATTCACTCAAACAGCTTACGTTCCCCTAAACTTCTACCAGGCAAATCAATGAGGAGGCGTTTGCTGGGCCAGAAGGCTGTTCTGCAGGCGGGGATTTATGGATGGGTGCAAACACATTTCCAGATCTAGACTCTAGGTCATAGTTTTCTGTCGGAGAGAAAAACAACATGCCACTACATATCACCAAAACCATTTTTCACTTTCACACTTGAGCCTCAGCTTGAGCTAAAAGTGTAAACGTTCATAAATTACCCCCAGATCACAGTTTCAATGCGTTTGCATCACCTGGAACTCGAGACAGCAGATGTGTGTGAGAAGTTTGAGAATTCGCCAACCGCGTCGAATTCACATAATTCCAGAGGATTGTGGGTAATTACAATAATGGGTTATTTGGGGAAAGTATAAAACGACTCAAAATGACATTGTCTTTGTGTGTCATAAGTTATTCTTCTGTAGAGCAGATGGGATCCATTTCCGTATTCTGTTACTTAAGTGAGACGGTATTTATGTGTTTTAAACATCAATATACACAATAATTAAAGGTGGCTCTCATACCTGCAGCCATAGAAAAGGATTTTCTTTCCTCGTCAAACTCTTATCAATGTCACTCTTTTACCTGTGTAATAACACTGCAATCAGTAACGGCAATACGAGCACGCACACAGGTCACAGAGCAGTGACCCCTGGTGACGACTCAACACACCTTTGAGAAACACACTTTCTGGAGACAGCTGATTTACTGGACTTGGTTTTAGGTTGATGGTCCGACATCCGAGAACCTAAAGTAAAGGTAGATTTATTATGTGTGGCTTTGTAATCGCAGGTGATGTTCAGTCACTATTTACATCCTGTAAAGAGTCGGACGCGAGGACAGAAAGTGTAGTAACAGTCTAGTCGCTCGTCTATGTAGATGTGTAGTGTAGCCTACTACCACTACAATGTAACATCACAAACCCCACGTTGCTACATTGTTGTTGCACCACAGTTTACAGTGTTACTAGACAGATAGAAAAGATAACAAAAAGTCATTTTCTGTGTCTCTCCGGCTGCGATTTGCACGGACAGACCGAAATGAGTCAAGTCTGCCTGCCAGCGGCCGGAGACAAACTCCCGTCCTTCCCTCGCTTCCTCGGGTTAATATTCCACAGTTTGTCTTCCGTGCTCAACTCTCCAGAGCGCAGGCAGAGAGCAGCGGTCATACGCACCCACAGTTCGTTGCGGAGACATTTTGCAGCGTTTGATATCGGTTCTTGTTGTCCAAGAAGGAAATGTTCTTCTCGAAGGCGGTGGGCCGGCAGCACGGCCCGTTGCTCACCTTGTCCCTGCGGCCCTTCAGCCTGAAGCCCGTCTGCATCATGTGCTTCATGGCGAGGTCGTAGTTCTTCCGGTGGGCCGTGCATTTGCCGCTGCAGTAGCGCAGCACCACCGTCTCGTCGCTCTCGTAGCCGAAACCCAGTTCGGTCACGGTCAGCTCCAGCTGCCTCAGAGAGCAGGACTTGGGCCTCCGGGCTCTTTTAGTCCTGCGGGCCTGGTTGTCGCCCAGGCTCTTCCTTCTCTTCCTGTCAAGCAACGTTTCCACCACGTGCTGAAGCTCGCCCTCTGTGAAGCTCTGGAACATCGAGGAAACTGGCAGAGAGGAGGTAAAGAGACGGGTGAGGCAGGGTTCATCGGATTGAGATAACACGGGCTACCGCGGTGGCCACATGATGAAAAGTTGACAGGAGCGCTGTTTGTTTGACGCGATCAGCAATCAGGTGTTCTTATGTAATTCGACGAATCGGCCCCTCCTGAAGGTTAGAATAATTCGCTAAAGAGCTGCTAATTTGAATAATGTGGAACATTAAAACCTTTACGTCTTTAAATAAACGAAACCAGGCGGCGAGCATCTAAACCACGAGGAAGGAAGACAGCAACAGTTCATCTTACACTCTGAGAGGAGAGAGTTCATCTCGTTGGTCGAGCGGATCCTGCGATGAGGGCCGCTCGGCGGCGGCGAGTTCTCGGAGGGCGACGGCGGCCTCGGCGAGGGCGGAGGTGCGCTGGGGTGTTTCGCCTTGCGTCTCAGCTGTCCGACGGTGGCCGTGTTTTTAACGAGCAGGATGGACAGGGCTGCGCCACAGAGCACGAAGGCAAAAGTAGCACCTTTCCATAACTTCATCTTAGAACGTGGAGGAGCATTGAAACTCTGTCGGGGCAAAACAGACAGACGTCAGACATGTTCGGACAGTCACACCTTCAGTCGCGTTAAAAAAACCCTCCTCAACGCGTCACGTCAAAGCGCAACGCAGCAGAAACGGGTGCGTTCCGTGCCATCACATTTCTTTGACCTTTCCGAGGAGCCACTTCTCTCAGCGAGCCTTTTATTTTTACCGGCGGTTTACTTTTTTCCGATTCTGCTGTCAGCTCGTTTTCGCTTAAGTGGGTTGGCTTGACGTCTCTTGCTGACACATGAGAATGCAGTTGTGTGTTTAATCAGGGCTGCCTGGAACAGAAGAAACCAAACTGTAATTTCCCATTTCAACTGAACTGCAGACCGGATTAGTTCTGCGAAACTATTGAAAGGTTTGTGCATCATTTAAACAATGCAGATGGCCAACGTAAGCTTCTTTTTCTTCATTTCTAGAAAACACATGTCTTCTTTGCAGAAGTAAATGTACCTGAACCATCCCTTTAGAGGAGGGAAATCCTTTACAGGAACCACACCTAATGCTGTGTGATGAGGCCTGAGTGAACACGTGTTCTGCATCCCTTTATCTCGCACCACCCGGCCCTTTCAATCGCAGCCACAAAAACTCATTCTGCAGGAGCCATATCTTGGCTTTTCTCAAAGATAGTTTTACAACCTCATTTCTTTGTATTTTTCATATCGTGTCACCAGTGAGGAAAACATTTCCCCCGGAGCTGGAAACGGTACACCGGCGGTGACTAACCGAAAACCCAGACCGGCCTCACAAAGTGTTTTGCCAGACTGTATTCTGTAATGTACATATACAGGCTGCGTCTACAGTGGGACACGGTCTTTGTAGACTTTATTTAGTATAGAAGCAGAAAATCACATACGTTTATGAAAATTTGGTTTTGTGGGTGAACTTAACATTTTGCAGTCACGCAAGTAAAACAAAAACAAAGGATGCAAATTGGGAGAGTCTGACTGTTTTGGAGACCGCAGAAGGAACGTTTAAAAAGACGTTGCACGCATGAGCTGCAGTGGTATAAACACAGTATAAACAGGTACAACCAGTCCTATCAGTCAAAGCTTGACTCATCATTCATAATTCCATCTGGGCTTGACGTGGTAAGCTGCCGCTGCACAATGAAGGGGTAGAATGTTATTCGTTCGAAAGTCAAACATTTCAACTCGCAACCTCATTTAACGCAGGCGACGTGGAGCCGCGGCTGCTGCACAATGTCACTCGCCATACGGTTTGTCTGATTTTCCTTTCTCTGTGTTGTATTTAATCAACATATGTGATATATAGAAGCCACTATGGAAAGTCTCATTTTGTTTCGGTTCACCACCAACTCTCAACGCCAGAAAATGAGCTGCCCAAGTTCTTAATTTGATACATTTTTCTCAATTTAAAATGAGCCAGTTTGTTGTGATACGGCCAAGAATGACAGCATTGATTTTTAATGTTATAAATAGGTCATTTAGGGACAATTATTCAGTCACAGAGTCAACAATCTCACACGGCCGCGATAAATCAACGTCTGAGGTCTGTTTGCACTGTTGCTCATCTTGATAAGAGAACGAGCTGGTGAAGAACAGATAAGTCCTCCAATGTCTCATTGCCTGAAGCAACGGACAAAGCCTCTCGTGTCCTAAAGGCTCTTTGACTGTCATAATTACTTCACTCAGAAACACATTAGTCTCATCAGCAGTCGCCAACAACAACGCCAAGCAGCCTGGTGGAGGTGCTCAGGTGGTCGCAGATGTTTAATCAGTAAAGATATTTAATATCTACCTCTGGCCCCCTCGCTGTCATGGACATAAATATACAGGGATTGATGGGGGTGGGGGGGCACCAGCAACGGAAAGACATGAATGAGTAGTTCACTTCCTGAGAGGACAAATGCTGCCGTTTTCCAGCAAAACAGAGCAACAAGGCAGAGGACTTAATGGACCCCCAGAGGACCCTCCAGCAGAAGGAAAAGACATCCTCAAACTGAGGCATAAAAGTGCAGACGAGTCCCAGGGACGACTGAAACAGCTCCTACGCGGGCGATGCCTGGCCCCCGCAAAGAACCAGCGCCGCTGCGCCCGTGCACCCTCCTGTGTGTTGGGAGATCACGCCGCTCCGACGAGCGAGGCCCGAAGCAAACGCACTCCCAGGCAGAGACAAAAGACCATCGCTCAGGATTTCTGTGTTTCTGGTGAGAGCGGCATGTCGGAATGTCAGGTATTTAAGAAATGCTTTTGCCTACACCTGATGTCACCCGAAGAGCTACCAGCAGGCCGCAAAAACGGTCCCAGAGGACTGTCGGGTGGTTGGAGGAAAACCATGAAAGTGAGCCGGACGGTCAAGACTTCCCGTCTGCCAAAGCCATTCCCGAGGCATGACGTGTTCTCCGGACGCATGCGTCGTGCGACCGGAGCACAATCCTCAAGCGAGCTCTTGTTGGGGACTCAAAGATCGCATTATTTAAATGGCCACAATAAAATTGATGTAAATGGGTCAGTGGCATTGCTAAGCTGGCAGTGAAGTAATTACAGCAGCACGGCACTCGTATTGTTCCCTCCCTCCCATTCAAGATGGAGGCATTCCGCCTCAGAGAGATGAAGAGGAGATCTGTCCAATTGGGGATGAGGGGCGTCTGTGGTTAAGTCTTGTGAATGAAGCCGGCGGACACGGGAGGGGGGGGGGGGCCTTGGATCTTGACCAGCGTGACACGATTACAGCGAGAGAAGATCACAGAGAAGAATGAAGAGCGTCTTTGTGCTGGAAAGAAAGCAGATACCAACTTTTATGTCTCACTCATTTTTTACTACACATTCGTTAAATACAGCCTGTTCACTCCTTCTCACTCGCTGTGACTCACACACACACACACACACACACACACACACACACACCATCAACACAAACCGGCCGCACTTGAGTGCTTTCACTTCTCCCAAATCACATGACACTGGCCCGTGGAGAAATCGATGCAAAGTCTAACCTTCCATTATCGCCCAGACACCCACTTCGCCTCCGGGGCGCTCGGACGCTCCCAGCAGCACCATCACATAACGCTGGATAATCCAGTTTACGTAACGCCGCTGCTGTTTGAGATCTACAAAGGTCCGCAGGTCTGGCCCGCTGTGAATTAGTTCTCTCCTCACGAGCCGAGGCCTACAGAGCATAATTAACCGCGCTGCGCTTCACCTCAGCTCCACCCATGTGATCGTCTGTCTCTGCGCTACTCTGAACACGCCCCAGAAATACTTGTGCAGGAAAGATAACAGAGGAGCACAAGAAACAGCGGGAAAGGCACCTACTGTGTTGTTCCAAGAAAACAATGTGCCCTAGGGAGTCCATGAGAGGCCTCGTCCTGTCTTTTCCCTCTTAAGTGAGCATCAGGAGGCATGGGGACAGCTAGAGAGTGCTTGGGGAGGTAATAGGGACATATTCCAAAGATCAGGGCGGGATTAGCACTAATGCCTGGGGGCTTTATCCGCAGTCACGTGGGTTAACACCTGGCTGCAGCGTTGGTGGCGGAGCATGGGCCTTGGTATATGCGTGTGTGTGTGTGTGTGTGCGCTCCGTGTGTTAATCCGTCAGACACCTCTAACTCAGGGATTAGGTCAGCATGCAGGGCCCAGCACCGGCAGGCGCTTCTTCTTCTTCTTCTCCTTCTTACCTCAAAATGTATGTCCTGCCTCGAGTCAGAACCATGAAGCGGAAAAGTGACGAGTCGTGTTGGTCAGATCTGTGGCTGGTGGCGCCAGGAGGGGCCCAAGAAGGCCGCAAAGAAAGTGGATCTTCTGAGCCAGGACTGGCTGCTCTGAATACAGCCTGGGTTCAAATGCAACCCCAAAAAAAGGCTTGGTTCTGTCAATCAGTAACCAGAGGATGATTAAAACAAGTCTGTTGCTTGTTACTGAGAAAAATCGCTGTTCACTTTTCAAAACGAAAAAAAAGGGGCAAATTTGTGGGCAGGGACCAAAAACTGTGATATATTTGACGCATTTTCTATAAATTATCGACAAGATTCCCCAAATGTCACGTTGCTCGGATTTATATGGATCACATCAAGTGACCCACCAGGCGAGCACGAAATCTCACAACTGGAGCCCGTCGCTGCTGGCGCGGCGTTAACAAGGTGTGAGGGAAAATACACTTACAGACGCACATCTGACACCAATCCCGATTTGTCTGCCCTTTGCTATTCCTGGAAGAGTTGAGTCACGCTGTGGTTCTGTCGTGCATTCAGACAGACTTTCTAACAAACAGAGAGGCACCCTCATGTTCGGGGGGGAAAACGTCAACCTGCCACCAGATTAATGATTCTCGTCTCGGCTACTTTCTAAAGAAGAGTCCGTAAGCTGCTATTCTTGCTGCTAATCTGTCAATGCCAGATCCTCTATGAACCCAACAGCATCCCGTCCAAACCCATGTTAAACACGTCGACGTTACTGCTACAAATGGTCGACTGCAGTCTGGCACACGCTGAAAAATATATGACCCACACGAGCAAGTACGAGCAAGTCAAACATCTGAAATATGAGGGAATTTGAGTTTATATGCCGATGCTCTCCCTCAAACTACTGACACGCAGATGTAGGCGTGGATCTGACGAATGAGTGCTGATGAGACGATGAGGGGGGGAGCAGAGGTTTAGCTTCCCCGTCAGTTTCCTCCCGTTATGACCACCTTTGGCACGTTATGACAGCCGAACGGCTCAATTGATTTCAGGCTTAATCCCAAACCCGGCCTGTTTGTGGCTCTGCTGGATACAGTATAATCTCAAAGTATGATATGGGTTTAGTGAGGATCATCGCTTCAGTAAAATGCCCATTGTGAGTATTGTCAAGTTGCTTCATTGTACTTTCGTTACATTTTCAGTTCAGCAAATTGATCCAGCTCTTAATTATTTAGACCACAAAAAGTGTTAAAATAACGAACGCAGAGAATCATGATTACTTAGAATAACTATTTCATAACTGGTAAAGCAGTATTTCAACTTCTGGGGGGGAAGAGGTGGGGGGGGGGGGGTGGGCCTTGGAGCATTAGTGAGCAGCTTACCATGGTAATGAAGGTGAACCACCATGTTTGTTTAATGAACGGGAAAAATAACTATTCCTCCCTGACGGGACCGGTTCCGCGGGTGAGGCATTTCGAAATCTGAGAAAATCTAATGAATTCTTACACTTGCTTTACAACATCACGGCACGACCCTATAAATCAATGGTAACCGCTCCGGCAAACATTTCGTGACAAGCCAGCTCGCACTATGACACGCGGCCCCAGTCAGGGCCACTTGTTGACACGAATAATCCAACGTGTGCTTTTCTGCCACTCGAGCACCCGGCGAAGGCATCCCTGTCGCCTTGCCCATAAGCCGCCGGCTTAAACTAACAAAAGAAGATGTGGTGTCCTTACCGTTCGGCCGGCTAATCCAGACTTAGCTGCGTGGAGTCGTCTTCAGCTGACCTCCACTGGCAAGTGCTGGCTGGGTAAGTCCATCATCATCATCATCATCATCATCATCAACAACACAGGCGAGAAGTGAGGGCAGGACTCCTGCTTGTTCCCCAGAAAATCATCACAACTCCCTGCGCCTGCGAGTACGGGAGGTGTCCTGTCTTGAATCGGGTCCAGACTATTCTTCTATCATATTTGCATTTCCACGGAACGCTGTCAGGTTGCAAAGATCAAGATCAACATTCCTCTGGATGTAAGCGTGAGCTTCATGCCACGCAGGTTGATCCATGCGAAAAGAGGAGAGTTGAGTGATTCGAGGGGGTCCAGGACTTGGCATCCAGCTCACTTCAGTAAGCTTCTTTCATCATTCTTTGGCGTGCAAACCGTGCCGTCTTCCTTTTCAGAAGACAGAGAAACAGAGAACGGCACAACAGTGTGATGTACAGACCTTAACTCTTATTCCATCTGTTTCCATCTCATTTTATCTCCAAACCACAGCGCGGTTGTAAAGATAACGCACATCTCCTTACCCCATCTCCGGCAGCGTGTCTCCTCTGGAGCTCCGGGAGGCGACTCTGTGGGTTGAGAAGATGGGTTGGGGTGAGGAGGGAGAGCGTGGTTATGGTAAGTGCAGCAGAGAGCTCCTCTGATGCCGCTGCCTCCAGCCTCCCCTCCTCAGCTGTTGCTCCTCCTCCTCCGGAGTTGTGCTTGTGGGCAGAGTCGGATTACTCCTGACATGATAATCTCCCTGGCTCGAGCTCCAGGAGCCCTAAAGGATGCTTTGGCCTGAGTGAGGGCTTACATTTACCTTCTGCCACAGGAGACTCGGCCATCTTAAGAGAGAAGATTGGTAAAAGCCTCAAATGGGAAGCTCAGGAGGGTCTGCTGAAGCAAGTGTTTTCCAATCTTTTAGCGGGAATTAAGAAAGTTCACAATTGGTTTAAACGGTGCTAAGACAACAGTAAAGCCAGTTAAATGGAATTATCACGGCGGAGTTGTATAGTACAGCCGGATTGAGATAAAACCAGGGGATGTTGTTGTCGAAAATCTCACGTTCACGTCCCCTCCAATACGGACCAGTACTTCAGCCCTGGAGCTTCGAGGCGTAAATCAGGAGCAGATGGTTGTACTTCTGGAAGGTATCGCGAACTCCATGCTGCAATCTAAATAAACACCCCATCCACGGGGAAATGTGTCAGGTGCGTGGGGTCAGACATGTATAAACAAAGGCCAAGCAGGGAGGAGAAAAAGGGAAGCGATGCACGAAAGGGAAGATACAAGAAAAACACACAAAGTCGCACAGTCACACTGTTTTGGGAGCGTCAAATAAATGCAAAGGTACAATGTTGAATGTCGACGTTGAAATAAAGCAGGAGGTCAGCGTCAAAACAGGAAGCAAATAATATTTTGACAAACATCCCATTCTAATGTCATGAGTCATTCGGATACCCTCAGGCCAAGTTGTACACAAAATTCCAACAGCGAGGCGGAAATGTGGCTATTCGCCAACGTTATGGGACTAAAATCTCCTTTATTGCTGGTTGAGAGAAAAATGGAAAGACCAAAGGGACCTTTATGCGAGGCTTGTCTCATACTGGTGTGTATTAGGCGAAATGTGTATTACGATTGTTATGTCAATGACCTAAAGAGCAGGTTGAGTGGACGCCAACACAAACTCTCTTCATATAAACCCTTCATCGCTGACCATCGCCACGAATCACGGAAACATTAGTTATTGTCTTCACATTTGGACTATTTTGGTCAGCAGGTGCAAATTCCAGCAGATCATCTCGCCCCTAAAAACACGAAATGATTATATCTAAATTGTTTGACATACTATTACTGGCTGAGGAGACCATGTAAATGCATAATGACTTCCAGTTAGCAGGCGATATCGTGCTTTTCTAGCCTTGAAAAGGAACCATCAGCACAGAAACATTTCCTGACGTGGGGCAGGAACATTTCTACTCTTTACATCTTGTTCACAGATGTGTGGAGGTTTTCATGGACCATCCTCCTCTGCCATAAAATTCCAACAGCTGTTAATTGGCAAACCAAGTCAGAAACAATAAGCGTGAAACACTTTATCCGATCTGTATACGATGCACAGTCTCACTCAGCAGCTAAGATTACATTAGTCATGGAGACTAACTGACCTTCAGAATATACAAGGGAAGAAAGAAAACACCAAAGTGTGTTTCCAATTTCACTACGATAGAATCCTTTACACGTTGGATTGAATCCTTTCCACTGGGTGCGGATGAGTGGAGAAACACATTTTGTTTAAGTTTGGGCGAGATTTTAAGGAAGCCCTCAATCAGTTACACTATAAACACACCATTCCAGTGGAGGTGCCGTTAAAAAGGCTGGAAATACGGCACAAATGCGGCCACTATGCTCGTCTTGCACAAGATGTGGTTTGATGATTGGACGAGTAGCCTTCAGCCAAATGTCATCTCAGAGAATGGAAAGGTACTTTTTAGAGAACCAAAATCTAAACAGTTATTTTTGAAAAAGATGCAGTGGGACGATGGGGGCTTTTTTTTTGTTTTCCAAAGTCTCATGTTGAAAGACAACAACCCTTTCTTGGAGAAAGTGGCAACAAGGTAAATTATTCCTGGCCCGAGAACAAATACACATTGCAATTTTCAATTTGTGCCCAGATGCGTTGAGCCGGGAGCGCAGAAAAGGGCCTGCGTGGATTCTGAGACATTTCCTACTTTACTTCAGCACTCAAAGGCCTCAGTTTGTGTAACAATTTGTACCTCCCGCTAATACTGCTGTCCTCTATTTACATGCTTTGCAGTGTATTTACCTCCCACGCAACTACAGCTTGACAAGGACCAACTGGGTGTTTAGAATAACACAGCTGTGGACACGGGCTAAATGCTGCCCCCGCCTGTCAGTTGTTTACAACTACATGCAAACCAGACTAAACAATCTCTCACCAACAGAGATACCAAGAACCACATAGCTTTTCTTTTTTTCATTCAATAAAAAAACACTTTATTTCCTTCCTCGTATTATAAATGATTGTGGCGTGCCGTTGCTCCCTACACCTGCTCCTGCTATTCAGCAAAGTGGGAGTTGCACCCCGGGGCGAGTTGGATGGAGCAGCAGCTTCCCTCTGCTGTGGAAGCCCTTGGTCCCCTCGGGGCCTCGGGGCTGACGCAGCACTCTCTGCACCACGTTGGGCGCGTTCCCGTTCTCGGCCACCCTGGCGTCCAACGCGCTGGCCGCAAATTTGCGACTGCGCACCCAAGGGCCCTGAGAATTCCCGTCGCCACCATCTCCAGACCACCAGCTCCTCCTGTTGAACGTCTGGTTCCAACAGGGGAAGGACTGCCTGTTGCAGCCGGTGGAGATCAGCACTGAGTTGTTGGAGGACTTTTGGGGTCGACGCGTGTCAGAAACCTTCGGTGGAGCAGAGGCCTCCCCCTGGGACGAATCCTCCTCCTCGTTTTCGCCCTGGTTCTTTTCATCTGATGGTTGGTCACTGGTGACGCGGAGCATTGCCTGGGATCCCAAAGGCACAACGCACATGCCGTCGCCGTTACACTTTTTCTCCTCTGCTTTCAGGGCTTTGTAGGCTTTGCGGACTTCGTCCAAACGGTTGAACTTCACAACTGCACACAGGTGTCGGCCGAGCTCTTTGTGGCGCTTGGCGTAGCACTGCAGTTCCTTGGGGAGCTTCTTGCCGGGATGCAGCATCCAGAGTGACGTCACACCGCCATGCACGCTAAACTTTTGGAGGATGATCTCCGAGAGGCGAGGTTGCTCCTGGCCTCGAGGTGCTCCGTCTTCTTCAGTGGTTCTCCTCGCACTAATGTTCCAGGCGAGCAGGAGCTTGCTGGTGGGGGAACACAGCAGCCATCGGGGAAGCGGCTCTGTCCGCCTCACTTTGGTGCGTTCCTCGTTCACCGCCAGAAGTTCAGAGTCCTCCGCTGCCGCCAGAGTCACGTGCCAGTTTGTGGTCAGGGCCTTTATCTGAGACAAACAGCAGCAGCCTTAGCCGTGTTTGCATTTCACTGGGTTGTTTCCTTTCAAACTGGCGGAATGCTAACACCTCAGAAAGCACACGACATCTCGCTGTCGTTGAAGCCAAAATGTGATTCAAATTTGTTCTTTTTTTTTTTCCTCTTCTCACCTTTTTCGAACCAGTGAGCAGCTTGAGACTGACGTAGCCCTGCTTGTTCTTCTGCACGTGCTTCAGCAGGAAGCCGTCCTCCGCCAGGTGGCTGTCAGACAGCAAATCCTCCAACTTGGCTTTAATCTCCATGCAGAGCAACTTACCTTCACGGTCTTCTTCAACTCGGGCAGATTGCGCACAATCTCTACAAGAGACACACAACTCAGCATCACGATGTACTGCAACGTAGATTAGGCAGCCATATGTTTTCTAATTTCCTTACCCGATCGGATTAGTCATGGTATCTCCAGAGGATAGTGATAACAAGTCACTGAGGTAAAGTAAAGACGGGTATTAAGGAGAGGCAGCGGGTTCCATACAGTTCATACTGGCTCCTAAATGTGGAAGAATTGCACCTGAACTGAGATCATGTGACAACAATGATGTCAGTTGGCTCTTGTGTCCAATACAAACATTTTGTAAAATGCTACAAGGAGACATTCCACATTCCACAACCTACCACTAATAACTAATCTCAAACTTAACGACAAATATGTGCATATTATCACAGCTAAAACAAAGGCTCGCTCAGACCAACAACGTGTCAGTATTATCACAACAAAAAGGAGCAAAACAAACTCCTCGTCAAAGGCGTGAATTTCTGCAATGTGGTTCGGAGCACAATTAAATCACTAGAGAATTATGGTCGTTTCCCAAATGCACAAACATCTTCAGTCCTTCAATCCCTAAATCCAGAGTTATCTTCTGTCCGTATGCTTTTGTCGTCCTCTTCGGCTTGTTACTGCGGCAACCTGTTTGTTCCTGTGTTTTAAATAACATTTGTGGCAGATGGAATATTCATTACACTTTGGATAAATATCAAATTCCCAAAACGTTTCAGACTTTTCCGCCGAAAATCATTGAAGTGGCTGAGAGGGCGGCTGGTGGGAAGTGAGACTGAACTGAAGTTCTTTAAGAACACACACACACACTGCATTGATACACATTGATCATTTGTATTTAGATATTGAATGATAAAATATTAAGAATCCAAAATGCAACAAATCTGCTCCATCCAGACGGAGTGACTGACTGTGTGGTTTAATCTGATTAGATTGACAGCGAAATTTCCATGTCAACATAAGCAAACAAGCTGAAAGATATATTCATATTTGTTATAAAGTACATGGAGGCTCCGTGCAACGAATGCAAAGTTATATCAAAACATCTGTTTAAAACTCTCACAGATATCCAGCATAATCCCGTTTATGCAGTCGCATGCCTCGGGGCTTAAACATTACAATTTAAAACACATCCGGCTGAGCAAGCGTGAGCCGAGTGTAAGAATTCAAGGTAACATCGAGACAGTGATTGAACTTTCTACAGTAACAAAGGTCTTATGGCTCCAATCCAGCTGTAGCGTACTTCAACATCTGTCCAAAATGATATCAATTGCTTATTTTTGATCCTATCAGACATTTGTGTGAAATTGTCACGATTGCTAGAGGAGTTATTGATTTACGGCTACGTAAATATATTTTAGAGGGAAGGCGGAGATCTTTGACCATGAAATTCTAATCAGTTCATCCTTGAGCACGAGTGGATGTTTGTGCCTCGTGCAATAAACATTCTGAAAGCGTCCCTGAGATACGAGGATGGAGCGGATGTAAGGTCCCATCGCGAAGCAAACAGCGGTCATACATGCGGAAAACATTTTGGGCGGAGTGAAGGCGAACGTTCCTGGAAAGGACGGCGAAGGCAGACGGCCTCCTGGTGTCCCCCCCCACCGCCCCCCGGGGCGAAGGGCTGGAGTCAAACCCGCGAACGCTTTATCGTTCGACAAGCTGTTCTTCACTGGACGGGATGAAGAAATGCATCACAAACCAACATTTGTACAAAAACCCAATTATTTAACTTTATTAACATCAATGTTTTTTCATTTTCATCAACAGTTTCTTTTTAAATTCCAGTTCTTTATCAACAAATAGAAAACAGACTGTGTGTACAACAGATTGAACCCCTACAGCACTAAAGCATTCACAAGGTAAAAATGAACATTGTAGAGTTTATCGCCAGCGTTTTCAAGTCCCCCTTTCTTCCTCCCCCCCCTCCCGCCTTCACCACAACTTTCAGGCCTCCCGCGACTCGTGTGGGAGAAGACGTGTGCTTGAGTGGTGCTCGGTGAGGAGTAGCCCATCTGAATGGGTGGGGGAGTGGGGGGGGGGGTTGTGCTGTTTTTCCCTCATTCAGACGGACAAACAGCGGTCAAAGATTACTATGGTAGTACAGTAGATACATGGGCGGTTCCATTAATACACACCCTGGGACGGCAGTCTCTCTGCAGTGTCCCCGTCGGGTTGGTAGATCAGCGGAATTGATCCTTTTTAACAATATACCTTTGAAGCTGTGTATATATCTATGTGTAATTGTACATATATATATAATCAATCATAATTATATATATTTATATATATTTATAGTTGTATTTCTGTATAAAATAACACCAGGTTTCAGTCCAAAGGGGCAGAGTCCCTTTCCCTCCGGTAGGAATGGTTGATTCTGTACAGGGGTCAGCGCTGTCGGCTCCACCTTGCCGCCCGTCTGAAAGCGCTTCCGCTCCTTTTCGGTGGGCGTGGCTCAGCTCCAGCCGACTGAGCGGACCAATGGGCAGCGAGGAGATGGGAGGGACTTGAAGAGCAACTTTATTCGGAAATCAGAGAAGTCTGTTTCCTCAGTTCTCCGCTGTGGAGTATGAAGGCCTCAATGCCGCAGGCTTCTGATGTAGAACAAAACAACAACAAAAGAACACGTAGAAATCATGTGCTTTCCATTTCTGTACACCTCTGATTTAGTCTCCTGTCAGCTATTTCACTTCCTGCTTTTGTAAGTAGCTACCAAGTTTACAGGCCAAACTTTAGCAAGTGTGTGCTCTGAAATCACTTTTCTCAAAGTGGATTTTTTTTTTCTTTTATCCAACACGGCAAGTGAAAAGGCAATTTTTTGAGAAATTGAACTGAGTAAGACCAAACACAAAATGTATGACCCACAAAATGAATAAAACAATAATGTCCGATCACAAAAGAAATCTGACAGCAGCCCAGAGAACAGTGTTCCTCTTGTATTAGTGTCTAGGAACGTGTTAAAAATACATGTCCCTTGTTCTAAAGTACCCTAAAATAATAATAAAAACAGAAAAGTACCGATTATGAAAATAAATCACCCCCCAGGCTGGACAGCTTAAGACAGAAGAAATGTTCGATGTTAAAATTATTATTGAAATCACAAATATACTAAACAATAACATTTAACACAATGAATGAATCATAACAATAAATGTAACAAAAAAATCAAAGAGAGAGAGACAGAGAGGGAGAGAGAGACTCTCTTAGTGCTACCAGTAGCCTTTGACAATCAGGGAGGTTTGGCTTCGACGCAGCAGAGAGGCGAGCTGCCGCTCTGCTCCGTCGCATCTGTACAAGTGTGTTGTCGTCTTTTGCATTGTCGTTGTAATGTTTCTGTTATTATTTTTAAAGCAAAATCTCATGTCGTTGGTTACGCCGGCGCGGATCGCCGCGATCGGTTTGAACCCCGATCTCCGGGTCCGCGGGGCGCGCGTCCCTTTGTCCCCTCCCCTCTGGTAGCTGCGAGGGTTTCGGGCTTTTGGGGGGTCGAGTGAGTGGATGGTGGCTGAGATGGGACACTTGGCACACGCCTGAGAGGTTGCACCAGGGAAGCTGCTCGGTGGGAGTGGTTATGTTGCATAGTGGTCGAAGCTCCCCAGGTACTCCAATGCCGCCCTGTAGCACAACTGGTACTGGTCCTGAGGAAGAGGAGGAGAGAGAGAACATGTTATGTATGTCTGTGATGTTATTCGTTATGTAGTTGTACTATTCGGCTCACAGCATCTATTGCACGCAAGTCTTTCCTGGGAAAGAGTTGCTGTTGAGATTGTAAAGCCCTGTGAGGCATGTTTGTCATTTTTGATATTGGGTTATATTAGAAATAATCAACTTGGTTTCAATCATGGCCACATTTCGGCCAGCTAAGCAATACACTGTGTGCATTTTCATATTCAGCTTCAAGGTTTTTGGCCAATTAAATCTCCCTGATGGTTTGCGTGTAAAATAAATCATTTAATAATGCGTAGTGAGCTTAACCAATACTGTGATACATTTTTACATCAAGTAATAAAATGAGAATGAAAATGAATCTAGAGATTATGTACTTTTGCACAACAACAACAAATGACAAACTTTTCTTTATCATAAAATGTGTATGAACTCATTTAAAGTGGTGGTTTGTGATAGAACGTATTTATCCATTCTTCATTTGAGGAGCATTTGCCACTGGCCCGCTAAGAAGCACCTGAAGCACTAAAACCTCTATTAAAGAGAAAATGCTCCGGGAGTCAAGAAAGGACAATTACTAGATAACATCAAGTTTAAAAACATGCAATAGTGACGGAGTGTGAACAGCGTGTGTTCTTACCTCGGTCTGCACCATGGCAGGCCGCTGGGTGCGAAGTGTCTTCACTGTCTGGAAGAGGTCGACCACTCCTTCGTACCTCATCCTCTCCAGAACGATGCTCAGGGTGATGAAGACTCCGGTCCGGCCGACTCCGGCACTGAAGGGCAAACGCACACAGGAGTCGTTACAACGTCGCCTGCCTGAGGCTGCAACACTTTTTGTGACTATGTTGTTCAAAGTGGGAAGGCATTTCTGATTTGTTTTGCATATGAAAGCCCTTTCTGGCACAAAAACCCTTTGGGCACGACTCTAAACTAAAACACATGTCAGAGTAACGTGATGCAGCTCAACAGCAACACAAACATCAGTCTCCTAAATGACTGTAGGGTTGAATAAATGCCTCTTTAAGATGAAATAACACTATGTCCTTCACGGCTCACTGTGAACATCAAACATGGGACTGCATTACTTTTAGCAAACTGTAAATACCAAAATGTTATAACCAAAATGAGTGTGTTAAGCTTCTTAAAAGGATAAAGCGCAGGAAATCCCATGACTTTTTTAATTCGGTACACTTGCTTTTAAAATATTTGCGTGTTCTTGGTGAACGTTGAATAAAGTTCCATTTCATGATTCTAAAATAAATCCGTGGTCTTACTCACCTGCAGTGTACAGTGATTGGTCCATCCTGCCCAAACTGTTCCTTGGTTTTGTGCACTTGTCCAATGAAGTCAATGAAGCCTTCTCCAGTTTTTGGCACTCCTTGCTCGGGCCAGTCAGTGAACTGGAATTGGCGGATTGTTCTGGACTGGCCGTCCTGAGGGGCAACAAGAAAGTACATTTAGGAAACATATAAACAAATGTGAAATATGTTTGGTGGTATATTATGTTTAATATCCAGTCGTGCTTCCTTGGATGCTTTTATTAATCACTTCGAGCATATAAAACTCTTCTGTACTTTGCAGTTTCTGCACATCTCTCTCTGCAGCATTGGCTTTAATATGCACTCAACAACAACTAAAACCCACAGCACACGTCCTCCGTCAGCGCCTGCGACTACGGTGAACCTGGGCCTTCTCCCTGCAGTCACAAAAGCAGCTAAATGACACTTGGGATGCAATATGAACCGAGCTGACGATCAAGCAGCAGAGGAACCCAGCAGGACTTTGGCTCTC